TTAGCCAAAGACAATAAGGTAGAGTTAGAAATTTCAATCTAGTTAATCACAGCTCTACTGCTTGTGTTCATATTTTGCTTTAGACAATCCTTCTTTCTCATCTGTCTTGTCTGGAAAATGTGATATTGCATTACTCACAAACAGGCTGGGATAGTGAATTAGGTTGCTGTTTATTGCATTGCTGCAGAAGTATTAGGAATGGTTATTATGTGAGAGGACTACTTAGGGAATGGTTTCTTTGCTCTGAATTGTCTCTTAACATCAGTCAGGCCAACCCAGGGCCCACATTATCAAGCACTCCAACATTGTTCTCAGTGGAATCAGATGTGACACAAAATTCTTCAAGCTGCAAATGAAGCATTTTTCTTCTGCAGGATTCCTAAGAGGTCAACTGGAAGTGTTGGAAGATTTCTGTTTGAAGGTAAAGTGACATATCTAAAGAAAATCAGCTAAAGGAGCAACAAGAGAAAAAGCCAACAGAAAGGAGCCTGTGACAAATGCACTCAACTATGTATCAGTCGTGTACATGAGTCAGTGGCACAAGAATGCAAGTGGAAGTTTAGAGGTAGTTTGACCTGGTTGTTGCTGTCTTTAGAGTGACAAACTAGTTTTGGCTGATACAAAACTCCTGCATGGGAGGCAAGTAGCTGGCAAGCTTGAGATGGGTTAGAAGAGCACAGCAGAGATCTGTTTGTCATTACCACTCTGTTAAACTCAACCAGCTTGACCAACCTACCAGAAAAAAATCAACAGTGAAAGAACCCTTTGACTGCTTAATAAAAAATCAGTTAATTGTTGCTAAAATTACCCTTGGAAGCAATTTAATTAACTTGGCTACCTTTGTACTGAAGCTGACGAGGAGGGCTCTAAACTGTGTTGTGCTAGTTCAGGCACTGAACAAGAAACCCTGAACACCAGACAGCAAATAACATTTCAACCCAGGACAGACATTTCTGCAGTGACAGTTCAACAGCTGGCTGCTTCACCAAGCTGCAATTTCTGTGATGTACCTAAGATGGATGGAGCACATGAGATAGCTAAATAGATAAGGGGCTAACTACGCTTAGGAAACACTTCATGATGAAACAAATAGTAGATCATTATTTCTAGCATTACATTAACACAGCTTAGCTATGAGGGACCTCACGTATGCTGAGGTCAATCAGAAGCCTCCTATGTCAAAGTTCTGTCATCTGATCAAAGGTAGAGTTGACTAATAGCATATATTTAAATGCCACCACTCCCCCATTACTAAATTGTGTTTTCCATCACAGGAAAGAAGTTACATTCTACAGGAACATCAATTATTTGTCCAACCCTGCTTTGCTCAGGAAAGGAAAATGCGTTAAGTTCATCTATGCCTTCATTTCTCCCTTTACTGAAGGTGATATCCTATCTTAACCAGTGGGTGAAGCAATGACTAACATTAGTCCTTAGTTTGCTGATGTAGGGTCAGTTTCGCATAACAAATTCCAACTTCTGGGTCCCTGTGCAAGCAGAAGCATGCTCTTAACCCATCAGTAACATTGAAAGTCTTTCTGGCACACATTTTGCAGCCTTCGTGGCTTTTTTTAAAGAGCAACCTCTATGACTTTTGACATGTTAGGTAAGAGGGGGTGGATACAAGAGTAAACAGTCCAAATGTGCCAACTACCAAATCAAACTCAGGAACATTTGGCAAGGAAGTGAGTGAGGAAGAACAACTCCTCTGGAGTTGCATTCAAGAGCAGAGATCTCTCTGTGGCTTCAAGTAACTGTTTTTACCTTCATCCAAACAGTAACAGAAAATAAGCCTTCTTCGCTACAAGACTGTGCTTATCATTCTCAGAGCTGTCCTTATCACAGCATTAATTTTTTTTCCTTATTGTTTTGCATAAGCATGGTCAAAATAATTGTATTGAAAGCATAAAACTGATTGTTGCTCTCAGCTCTACCTATTTTCACATTTGTCTCCTTTGCCACTGTATTTCTCCAAGATTTCCTTTACAACAGCAGCTCCACATTTTCTCCTTCATTTCAGGGCTGGATATAGCTCTAACAAGAACTGAAAAGGTCTGTTTAGCCATTTCTCATCATATAACCCCTTTTCTGTTCCTTTCCCATCCCATTCTCAATATTTCAACTTCAAGATGACAATTAAGATTAAATGTTAAAGAACAAGTTCTTACATAAACGTATGACACACAGCTTCTGAGTGACAATCTCAGCTTTGGTACTTGACTGCTGCATGGAACAAGTTAGAAATAAAAAAGATTTTTCTCCTATGATAAAAGGAGATTAGCTAGTCTGATTTTCTGTCATAAATATTTAAAATTCACGAGTCTGTTCCTTCCCATGAAAACAGAATCTGGCTCAAACAAAATGAGATGATAAAGAGTTGTTTGTTTGGTATTACTTTTACTCTCCAGGTCATTTTCAAAGTTTTACGTGTCATTGTGAGACATCTTTTTTCAGGAGCAGGGCCATTAAGAAAAGTAGAGGAAGTAAAGACACATGCAAACCATGCAGGTTTGCAATTCTGGGCTGGAATCTACAGCTTCTGACGGCACGAGCTTTTTTGCTCACTCTGCAAACAAGGTCACTGGAATATTTTTACATCAGTGGGCTTTCTTTTCCTGCTGATATTTATACACTATCATCTTCAGTGTCAGATCTTTTTTAGCAAAAAAGCTGTTTTTACGAGCCTGTGCTATCCTTAACTGAAAGAGTCTTTTGCACATTTTTCTGAACAGTTTTTTTTTCTTCCCCAAGAGTTCATTCAGGCCTCAGATAAAAGCAACAGAAGAAACAAACAGGGCACAGAATTTTAAGCAGCTGAGAAAAATCCCTTCCTTCAGTTAATTGTATTATCTCAGTTTTGATCATATAATACTGCAACTGTCTATTGGAACATTCCAGGAAATACAAGGAATAGCTACAGAAAGACAACAACAACAACAAAAGTTATTTCTAGTTGTTTTTTTTTTTTTTTATTTAGCATAATAAAAACCCCCAAAATACAGTTTTCCCTTTTTTCCAAGTCAGTTTTAAAGAGGAATTTCTGACCTCTATTCCTACAATTGAAAAGTTTTTAACTTCAGCTGGTTTCACTCCTTGAAGTAACCAGCTTTCCCCTCAATAATAAATAAATAAATAAATAAATAAGCAGAAAAAAAAAGCAGAAGTCATTACCCTATATTCTACAAGAGAAAACACATGCGAAAGACTTATCCTCAGAGAAGTTTTAGCAATATATGGTATATATTCCCATCCCAGAACTCCAGAGAAGCAAACCTGGAGGTTCTGAAGCTTCTAAAACAAAAGGATCTGTATATTCCATCCTTCCATCCTCATAGTTTGGTGTGCTAGACAGAAGCTGCCACATCTGTATTCCACTTTTCTCAAAATCAGACAGGTCCCCAAATCCATTCTTGATCTGATTATAGCACTGAGAAGCATGATGCAGTGGTGTAGCAGGATTGAATGCTTTCTCAGCAAACCCCTTACAACAGCAGCTTTATTTTCAAAAATGCACTTCAAACAGGCTTTTTTAGTCCTAAATTCTCACTGGGACTGTTGCTGCACTAGCATCAAATCCCTGTTTTCCACACTTTGTGAACCTGCAGTGGCCATTCCGTTTCTTTGCTGCACTGGCACATGTGGCAAATGTGTCCCAAAACAGTAACAGGAATAAAGCCTTACAGTAGGATGGGAACATACTATTGCTCCATCCCATCACCAACTATGATTTGTCAGTGCCCTGGCCCTGATCGCTGTTTTCACAGAATGGCCAGGGTTGGAAGGTACCTCAATGATCATGAATCTCCAACCCCCTGCCACATGCAGGGCCACCAACCTCCACATTTAATACTAGACCAGGCTGCCCAGGGCCCCATCCAATCTGGCCTTGAACACCTCCAGGGACGGGGCATCCACAGCCTCTCCAGGCAGCTGTTCCAGCACCTCACCACTCTCTCTGTAAAGAACTTCCCCCTGACATCATCCTACCTGAATCTTCCCTCCCTCAACTTGAAACCATTTCCCCTTGTTCTGCAGTTATCAACCCTTTCAAAGAGTTGATTCCCCTCCCCTCTGTAGACTCCCTTTAGGTATTGAAATGCTGCAGTGAGGTCACCCTTCAGCCTGTCCTCATAGGGGAGGTGCTCCAGTCCCCTGACCGCTTTTGTGGCTCTCCTCTGGACCCTCTCCAACAGCTCCCTGTCTTTTTGGTGCTGGGGGCTCCACACTTGGACACAGTACTCCAGATGGGGTCTCACAAGAGCAGAGTAGAGGGGAACAATCACCTCCCTGTCCCTGCTGGCCACCCCTCTTTTGATGGAGCTCCATTTTCTTGAATCATGTCCCATATGCTACACGCCAATAGGACAAACCTTGTGCAGCTCCTCAGGGCCCTGGCATTACAAGCAAGGCAGCCTCACAGTATGGCATCCAACTGATCTTCCTGTCCCCATGAGAAGAGCACTGAAAGCTGATTCTCTCAGCTTACACTCACCCGTGGATTAACAAAAAGCTCTGGTTATATAAAATGGAGAACTGCGCAGATCAGTGCACAAGGAAATACCTTCCTCAGCCTCAGCACCGTTGCTTGCTTAAAGGATATCTCTCCGAGGGATAAAGACTGCTGAGTAAAAACCCTCTACTCTTAGCAAAGCCTGAAGAGTCCCATAGTAGCTACCTGCAACCCCAGGCCATAACATACTGAAGTTATCCGTATGCTAACTTGCAATTGTATTAAATACGTGACTAGCAATCTGCGTGCTCCCCCAGCAGCGCACAAAGCCCGCCACAGCGGCGGCTTTCCCTTCCCTACGCCCAGACCCCCTGTGTGCAGAGCCAGGGAACGCGCTGCAGTAAGGGCGGCCATCTCACAACACCTCCACCCGCTCCTCTCAGCCTCAGGGCGCCGAAAAACGCAGGGGAGGGACACGCACAGCGCAGCAGCCCGCCGGGGTGGGGCAGCGCTTGCGCGGTGGTGGCTGCTACTGAAAGTTTAGGGCCCACGTGGGCTGTAGGATTGGGTTGTGGAGGGGACGGCGTGTCCTGCAGAGCGCTCCGGAGAACCGCCGCGTTTGGCTGCCGGCTCCCGCCCTCGCCATGGCCCCCGCAGAGGTCCTTAGCGGCAAAGTCGTCTCCGCGTATGTACCCTCCTCGCTGCCGGCGGGGGGATGGGGAGGTTTACCTTTCAGAAGAACTGAAAGCGTTGTCGCAAGAGCTCAGCCTGGGGGTCTGCTTCTTGTTGGCCCCGTCCAGCATCAGCCCTGGAACACTGCTCGTGGTTGTTCGGCATCTCTGTGCTAAGCGCCCAGGCTGATGCGATAAGGTGGAACCGCTGCCTCTTGTCTGTTTGTGCTCTCAGGGTGCTTTCTGGGCCCGAGTTGGCAGCTTAGGGGTGGTCTCCGTTTTGAGAGATCGATTGCTTCTTTTTAAAGCTAATGAAGTTGATCTATGCATCGGATAACATGGGGATGAGTGTTGGTGTGTATCTTGTCAAAACTGTTGGAAGGATTTGTCAGACTTCCTTCTGCTTTCAGCTTTCACTCAACTGAGCCTTGTGCTGTGTAGCCTTGCTTACTTTTCCAGTTGCTGCTCTGCAGTACATTGCTACACCTACATACTCTATATGTGTGAGTGCACTGCTGTATGTACAGAAGAAAAATGCAGTGTTTGGCTTCGGGTGACACTTGTGCGATACTCAGTGCTAGTGGTGTGTGGTGAGGTAGGTTTGGTGTGCACAGCTTGGATTTTAGGAAAAATTTGTTCACAGAGAGTGGTGATGCACAGGAACAAGCTGCCAGGGAGATGGTGCAGTCGCTGTCCCTGGAGGTTTTCAAGAACTATGGAGATGAGAGAATGTAAATGGGGGTTGGGGTAGATGATCTGAGAGGTCTTTTCCAACCTTAATGATTCTACGAACCTCTCTAACCAGGGAATTTCATGGAATCATAGAATGGCCTGCGTTGAAAAGAACCTTGAAGATCATCTTGTTTCAACCCTATTGATGTCGGCAGTTTCCAACCACCAGACCAGGCTGCCCAGAGCCTGCCTTGAATGCTTCCAGGAATGGGGCATCCACAACCTCTTTGGGCAGCCTGTTCTAGTGGGTGACCTGTTCCAGTATTTGTCCAGTATTTGGACAGAAAGTGTAAATCTGAAATGATCTAAAGTAATCTCTGGGAACTTGCTGGGGCTCATCTTAGGTGTTGCTGTGTATGGAACATCTACTTCCAGCTGGCAGTGCTGCATTTCTCAGAAGTAGTCTTCACGTGTCTTGAATCTAAACGTCCACAACGAAAGCCTGCTGGAATATGTTTTCCCAGTAATTTTTGGGCCACTTGTCAGGATGATTACTTGGGGCTTTCAGTCTGTCAGTCCTGTGCACGTTGTTAGACTTACACTTTTGTCAGTCTTGAGAGCATTGTGCTCTGCATGCCCTGTGTGTGGTGCTCATAGTACCTAGTTATCTGCCCGCTTCAGACTTCCTTTGTCTGGCATGGAAGCTGACATAGGTTCCTTCAAGCTACACATTAGTGAAAATTTAGACAGAATGGAATTCTGGAAAGGTGATAGTTTGAGGAAAAGGAGCATAATATGGTGGTATTCTGAGCTTTCATCTTCTAATATTCTTGGTTCTAATTTTCTTGCTTTTTTAAAAATTATTTTTTATTTTTTATTTATAGTGGTGACTCTTTTATTTCTGTTTGCTTTCAGTATTACGTTAGCAGTTGTTTTAAGAAATGAATGGAATGATGTTCAAATGCCTGAAAGAGAGCAAGATTTTAGTAGATACATGTGGGAGAAAGGATTACTTTTGTTTCCAGTGCAGCTCTGAGGTTCATGGTTGAAGCCTGTCTTTCAGCACGCATTGACTCTTGACCTGAAAACAGCACAAAATGGGAAAAAAAAATATTGCATCTGTACCAATGTTCTTCATTTCCTTTACATCTCCTCTATTTATGCCCAACATAGCTAGACCGTAGCATAGTCTGCAGGTCTCACGTATTTTGTTTTTTCTCTAGTGGAGTGTTTGATGAAGATGTGAGGAAATGGACTGTCCACCTCCAGTTATGTCTCTTTTTCCAGGCCCTCTGGAGAAGTGCTGAGCCAAAGGATTCTCAACATCCAGAGCCCACTGTCAGGCCATGAATCTATCAGTAAAAGAAATAAGCAAGTGATAGGCGTGTGCTCTTTCTAGGAATATCCAACTGAATTTGTCTGCCATAGTAAGGGTATGTTTCTCAGTACATCATCTGCAAAGTCTTTTCAGTTACAATCCTGTAGGGTTCTTCTGTTATTCTGGGCTTTAATTGAGAAAACTTTGCTTGTAATTCAGTCAAATATTAACAAATAAGGTGAATCAATGAAGCAGTGTTCCAGCTAGTTAATTCTGAGTTTATGTGTGTGTTTTAAGTCAGAAACTCCGAAGTACTATGAACTTTCTTCTCCTGCTATCAGCCACCTCTTCCCCAAAGAAAGGTGAAGAAAATAACTAATTCAGAGTTATGTCATTTATTTAAACAAAAACAATAACAAAGACAAAAAAAAAGCAAACAGGTAAATAGTGACACACTTATTTTTGTGAATCAGTTGAAGAGGGGAAAAAAACAGAGATGGAGCTTCCTTATCCCTGTGATCAAAGATAACTTATGTAGGAGATCAAGCTAGTTAATGTCTAGAAAGTGTTGGAAGGTTCAGAAGAGACACAAAGGAAATTAGTCAATATATGTGATGATAGTAGGTGTGATTTTTATCATGCACAGAAGGAAGAACATACAGAACAGCAGGCATTGTGATTTGTGTAGGATTTTGGTGCTCAAGTTAATACTTTGTGTAAGGCAGCTTCTTCCAGTAGAAACAAACTCTTCTATTTGGACAGTCTGTGGATGTACATATTGGATGTACTACACTGAACTTGAGTGTGAAGTGAGGGCAGGAGATGTGTGAATTGAGTGCAGCTCTGTTGTCTAAATTGCATCTTCCCTCAAACAAAGCCATTTGTTTTATCATGGGGGCAAAGTTGAGCAGTGGCAGCACTGTAGGCTGCAATGAAAAATGGCTATAGCTCTGGCCAAAGTGGCTGAGGATCTGGGGAGGCTTGTTAGCCTTCTGCAGCCAATTCTGGAGGGCTGCAGCAAGAGCACTTCTGATTCACACTTCTGAAACCTTTGGGGAATCTATAATCTGGGCAGTGAAGCCAAACCTTTCTCTCTTGGGGTCAGGCTTCTCTTCACAGAATCACAGAATTGTAGGGGTTGGAAGGGACCTCTAGAGATCATTGAGTCCAACCCCCCTGCCAAAGCAGGTTCCCTACAGTAGGTCGCACAGGTAGGCATCCAGGCAGGTCTTGAACATCTCCAGAGAAGGAGACTCCACCACCTCCCTGGGCAGCCTGTTCCAGTGCTCCGTCACCTCACTGTAAAGAAGTTCTTGCGCATGTTTGTGTGGAACTTCCTATGCTGCAGTTTCCAGCCGTTTCCCCTTGTCCTGTCTCCACTCACCACTGAAAAGAGTCCGGCCTCGCCATTCTGCCCCCCACACCTTAGATATTTATAGACCTGGATCAGGTCCCCTCTCAGTCTCCTTTTCTCAAGGCTGAACAGACCCAGTTCACTCAGTCTTTCTTCATAGGAGAGATGCTCCAGGCCCTTCACCATCTTCGTGGCCCTCCGCTGGACTCTTTCCAAGAGATCCCTGTCTTTTTTGTACTGGGGAGCCCAGAACTGGACGCAGTACTCCAGATGAGGTCTTACCAGGGCAGAGTAGAGGGGGAGGATCACCTCCTTTGACCTGCTGGCCACGCTCTTTTTAATGCACCCCAGTAAGCCATTGGCCTTTTTGGCCACAAGGGCACACTGCTGGCTCATGGCCAACCTGTCGTCCACCAGGACACCCAGGTTCTCCTGTAGAGCATCATTGTCTCTGAGGGAGGTATTGGCTTGGTCATATGTTCAGCAGTATCACCTACAGTCCACAGAAGGAATGGAAGTACAGCCTGATTTTTATCCTAAATTTGGTGCCACATATGCTCACACCGCAGCCACCCAAGCCGTGACATGTAAAGAATGCAGCAGGTGTGGTGGAGTCTGCCTGGGGAGATCCTGGCATGAGAGCTCTGCTTCTCTCTCTGTGCTTCGAGCAGAACTGGAGGAAGGTGGTTTGTCTTTGCTATTCTGGGAAATTCACTGCATAAATTTAAATTCGGCTCAGTTCTGCAGTCTCGTGAAAGAAAGGCTCACCGCTTCTTTAATCTTTGGAACTGGCTTTTTCATTGTATGCTTAAAGTCACATGCTGTCCTTAACCTGTGTGGACCCTGGACTTGTGTTTGCAGTGGGAGTTTGTTTGTGTAAGAGCCAGCAGCACGGGAGGGGTCTTGGGAGGAAAGGCTCTTGGAGGAGCAGCCACATCCAATTGCCAATCTATGTTTGAAAGCTTGAATAAATGTTCATGCTACTAACAAAAAAGTTGTTAATTTGTCAATATGATTGGGGTTTTTTTATCTTCATGAAGACCCGAATTATTTTGTAATGTATCTGCCAAAATACAGAGACTGCTTTTTATTTGTTTTTTTTTTTTACTTAATTTTCTCTCTGACCTTCGCATCTCTGGCTTTCTTCTTAACTGTCATTCAGCGGTAGTGAACACTAGGTGGCTGTCTAGCAAGTGGTTTCTTGACAAGACAGTTCAGCACTGGCAGCACCACTTGTGTGTTCGTGCATGTTACCTTTCATGTGTAGCTGAAGGGGAGATGAGCTAGTGCCTAATTACAGAAAATGGCAGCAATATAATGTGTGAGCAGTTGTGGCTGCTTGGTGTAAAAGCATGCCATAGCCCTGCTTCAAAGTGGATAGAGAGAAATAGATCCTGATGGGATTGCTTCTCCTGCACTGAGAAGGCTGGATTAAAAATAAATGCCAGATCTGAGACCCTTTCAGCTGACTGTCCCTTATGAGAACTGTACTGCGTTGTAAACTACAATACATTTCACATTTGTTTGCATTTCCTCTTGTTTGTAGGCCATAAACCACTGCTGCATCTTTCTTACTGACTCAGCTGCATCTAGGCTATTTCAGAGCCTCATCTCAGAAGTAGCTCCCTCAGACAGATGCCCCACAGCACCCACTCTAGCATTGGGTTTCTGACACTCCTTGTGATCCTTGCACTGCTGTTATGGACTTCTCATGAGTTCAGGTCTGACTGTGTCAGCAGTTGTGGTACTGCCTTCCCTAGAGGATGTGCAGCAGAGGTGAGGTGCTGCCACCCAGCAAATGCATTTTTGTTGCTTCAGCATGAAGAATTTCTAGGATGAGGCTGTGAGCTCAAAAGAGAGTGTCAGAGGCAAGTCAATGTCAACTGGAGACAGTAGCTAAATCGTGCCTAGAAAGCTCTATTTCTGAGATAAGATTGAAAACAACCTCTTTTACCAAAGCTTATTAAGAGACTTGGAACAGATTGGCCAGATGCAAGTGCTTATAAATACCTTGAACCTGCTTCTTGGTAGCAGTAGAGCTCTGGCCACGTGGTTTGCAATGTGGCAGGAGAGAAGCTTGATTTAGGACTGGCAGGAGGCTGTGTGATTCCCCTGAGATGGGGCTCATCAGCCCCGGGGCTGCTTCTGGCTGGGCCAGCTGCGGCCATCCCCTGGGAACAGTGCTGTTGAGTTGCATCTGCTTCCATTTCTCCTTGCCTCTGGCATTTCTGATCTGGAGCTTATATCATTGCAAGATAGAGTTGGTTTCACTTGCTATCAGTCATCCTGGAGTTCTGCAGCTGTATGGCAGGAGTTGCAGCCTCTGGGTACTTAATCTGTCCCAGCACTTCTGCTGTTTGTATTATTTAACAAACTGGCACCAACAGCTGCTCTTCCAGTCTGAGAGGTCTGGTTCTGCTTAGAAAGTATCAAACCTTTTGGGGCACTGATTTAAGGGTAGATGTACCCAAGGCAGGCACTGCTGGTCTGTTCTCGCTGAGTCCAAGCAGCCTCCAGTGAGGAGACAGAGCTGCAGTCAGGCCCTTTTTGCCAAAATCCCCGCTAACAGAGCACATTGAGCCTAGCACCAGGACTTCTTCCCCACTACCAAGTCTGCACTGGTGAAGGAGCACACACCTGGGACTTGCATGCAAAGCAGTGACAGCAGCTTTTGAGCTGTTTGCAGCTCGTTTATAGGTGATGAGTAACCTCTAAACTAGGTATGAACTGACATTTAAGCTAGATTGATGCAATCAGTAAATCCTTTCATCTACTCATCTCAAAGTTGTGTTTTAATAATTGTATCCTTCAGCTTGTCTTTTGCTGTAGAGTTAACCTGAGCTGTGTACCAGGGTTTAGTTTTCCTTGCTGCTTCATTTCTCTTTCTCATTCTTCCTGCTCACTTGGAAGATTTTTTTACTTTCTTTGGAAGCTCAGACTGGAGTAATTTTCTGCATCCGTGTTGGTAAGCGGGAAGGTGAGTGTAGGACTGTGAGTTATCCAGCCCTGGGTTAAGCCAAGCAGACAGGAAGGAGAAACAAAGAGTTTTGGCCACTGTAGCAGAGCTATAGGTTTGGGGACAACCTATTCAGCTCTTATACAGAGTTTTACCACTGTAAATTTGTCATCCTTTGCCAAGCATCTGTGGAAGACTGTATGTAGAAAGGAGGTTTGCTTTTTAGCAGGGAGTTTAAAATGGAGTTTCCATGTTTCATTGTCTATTATTGCCCTGTATCCTATGAGACTGCTGTGTAAAGAGGAGAGTGAAGAAATACACAGTGGACTTGAAAATTTTGGGGGGAAAAAGAAAAAGTTTGAATGAAACTTCTGAAGTGTCTTAGTGACTTATGGGCATCTTATGGGCATCAGTTTTATTTGGAGATTGCTTGGACTTGTGTACTTAAAGTGTGGGTATGTGTTTGCTGATCATGCCACCTGTCAGCTTTTCAATCACTTGTCTTACCATTGTATGAGAATTCAAACCTGTGGTTAACTTCTGTATTATTTGTTGGTTTTTTTTCACACTCAGGCAAGTGAGAGAGAGATTGAAGAAGCAAGTTGCTGAGATGAAGGAGAAGTTTCCAGGTTTCACACCAGGACTTGCGATTTTGCAGGTATTGTTTTCTTTAATGACAGCTACAGAAAATCTTTGTTGCTTTGCTGTGTTAAGTGGGCAACTGATGAGCTTCTGCAAAACTGCTTTGCAAAATAGTAGCATTTTGTAAGGAACTGGAGTGCAGAGCACCATGTGGGGTGTTGATGCTGTTCTGTGATGTTTCTCCTTTACATTTTTATGAGTCCTAAAGTCCATCACCTCTAACAGATGTGATTGCACCAGGTATTGCTGAGGTTAATGAGGAATTTGATCAGCTGTTATATGAGAGCACGGAGAGAGAGAAGTGAGCAAATCGCCTCAGCCAAGAAGACCTGGAGTGCAGAGGATTGAGTAAAATCTCATTGCTGAAATTGATGTTTGTCAGAAGCTTGAGTAGGTGCTAGAATCTATGTGTAAATGCTTGTGAATGGAAAAAATGCTCTTATCAGTTCAGGTTTGGGGCTTGTATTTGGCAGAATTAAGTGGTGGGGTGTTTTTTTTTTTTCCATTATAGCTATAAAAAATGGAAACTTTTTGGTATGCTTAGATTTGAAGGTGAGTAGTAGTAATAGCTGTCACGTATGGATGGAACTGCATGGCCACAAAGAGATTGAAAATGACTGTCCAGCACATGGGCTTCTATCTATATTTTTTTGTTTAGGGCACCTGCACAGCAATCTCTGGTTTCAGTCACTAAGACCACTTTAATACATGAAGAACATGCTCCTCTTCAATGCTAGGAACAAATCTGTGTGGGTTTTTGTTGTTGTTGTTGTTATTTTTCATTAGCTTTAAGATCAGCTCTACAGAAGACTTGTCTTCAGGTATTCAGTAGGAAAAGGGAAGTTCCTTGATTTAAAATTCAGTAAGGGACAGTAGTGTTACTGCAATCTTTTCTTGGTTGATCTGTTGTCTCGGTCATAAATCCTTTACAATCTGTTTGCTCTCCAACTTGTAAGCTATCAAACCGCCTCAGGTAGGAGAAGCTCAAATACAGATGTTCTCAACTGTCCGTTTTTCAGTTATGTTGGGACAATCAGATATTTCTGATATACAGCACCTCACCAGCTCTATTCTTGGGAGGTTTCTGGTGTCCTCCAAGCTGGAAGAATGAGTCAGTTGTCTTTATTTTTGTTCTGTAGTCAAGAATATCCTCCTTTACACACTGCATATCATCTTTTTGTTAACATGTCTCTTCTGCCTATATGATGCATCATTTTTCCTATCTCAGCAGACTCCACAAGGGAGGAGGCCTCTTTGTATAAGCCTGGGGAAGAAGTGCATGCTGGTTGACTGGCTAATACAGTCATCCTTGCAGCTTGTGATCTGTGTGAGAAATAGGGATGGCTCCCTAGTATCAGAGAACTAGATTTCAGGAGTTTTCTTAATATGTTTTTCCTGCTTGCCCTTTGTTTTCTAACAGTTACAAGGAGAACTACCTTTAGCCAAAACATGCTGGATGATGCAAACACTCGTACTGTAATCACCCAATTCTGCCAAAGCTACAGACACTTCTTCTATTTGCTGTTTTCTCTTTGTGCATTGCACTATTTACTTTGTTGGTTTTACTTGTTTGATGAGAAGATTCTCAAGGTATGAAACAGCATGGCAGAAGCTTCTCCATAAAGGCAAATGTGTATAAAATTGAGATTCCTGGGTATCAAAGGGGAACAAGTTTTTAAAAGCCTCATTCAGATAATTGGATGTTATCGGCACCTACTGATCATGTTAATTAACTTTTTCAGATGAGATGGCAAGCAATATTTTCTGCTTTTCTGCTTCACTGTGTTTTTAAGGGTTTTCTAACAGATGTTAATGGTATTTATGCAGGAGATCAGACAACCTCTCTTTAGCTGCCTCTTACTTGAAAGAACGCTTTCTTATTTGCTCCAGATGCCTTTAGTCTGTCAGTGTGGTATGGTTATTCAAGAATACCTTTTTCTCCTTGGTGTAGCTTTGAGGAAGCTGAGGGTTAAGACATTCTCAGGCTGCGGTTGGGTCTCTACTCTGCAGGGGGACTCAACTGTCTTTTCAACCTTAGGTTGGAAATCGGGATGATTCGAACCTCTACATTAATATGAAGCTGAAGGCTGCTGCTGAGGTAATGCCCAAACTGATAATTTTTTTTACCTCCCTAAAATAGGTCCAATCAGAACATGAAATTACAGATGTGAATCAGATAGCTTTGTTTAAGCTTTGTGTGTATTGGAGAAACCAGTGCTAGCCTGAATTCCTTGTTATGAAGGAATAATACAAATGTGTAATCTGATGTGGAGTGGGATACTCTGTGGCTTGGAGCTGATTACACAAAGGTACCTAAATGACATGTGTCCAAAGTGCTGATGTTCTGTCTTTACTGACCTGTGGCCATGTGCTGACTTTCTCTGTTTCTTGTTGATACATAGCTGCAGTTGCCTTACATCTGTCACCAAGAGGTCCATTGCATGCTACAGCAGGGCTGGGAATCTAACGAGTCCCTGTTGTCCTAGGTGACAGCTGGCATCTATGCTGGCATCTTAGAGCAATATGCTGTCAAGCCAAGATGCAGTTGTTCATTCCAAAAGGTGAATGGGACAGTTGAAAGATGGGCCAATATAAGTAGGCAAACTACTAATCTTTCATTGTATTCACTGATGGCAGTTCCAAATAAAAGGACTGTAGAAACAGAAATAGGGGAGAGAAGTAGAAAATGTGACAAAATGTAGATGAGGGTGAGCTTGACTGAAAGAAAAGGCAGATCAATCTCTGGTATCATTTCAGAAATGGGGTAATTTCTGGGTATTCTCATTTGCAGATTGGGATCAGTGCCAATCATATAAAACTGCCAAACACAGCAACAGAAGCTGAGGTAAGTAATGCAGTTGATAAAGAAAAATCATGTAATTTCAATTTCAAGCTAAGGGGGTAAAGTTATCTTTTTTTTGTAAAAAGGGAGGGAAAGACTGCTTGTCTGCAGATACTGACTCATGAAAGAAGAACAGGAACTGATGGTTATTTGTTTTGTTGTTTTTTGTGTTTTTTTTTTTTTAAAGAAAGCTAAAGCACAACTACATAAAATTTAGAAACTTTAGCAGATGTGTTTTTCAGAATAAAAAATGTGAGTCATTCATATGTTTTGTGTGCAAAAAAAATGTGTGTTCTGTGTCTTTTAATCCACATAGGGTTGTGTTGTGTTGTTTTTACCTTCTATTAATCTTGCTTCAGTTTATCAGCCACTAGGTTTTTGTACTTTGCTTGTAGGTCCTCAAGTGCATCTCGTCTTTGAATGGAGACCCTGCTGTTCATGGCTTTATAGTGCAGCTGCCCCTTGACTCTGATAAACCTATCAATACTGAAAAAATAACCAATGCTGTTGCACCTGAGAAGGATGTAGATGGGTAAGCTGACATCAGCCCTAGAGAACATCACAGCTACTCCAGAATTAGACCTTTTTTTTTTTTTTTTTTTCTTTTTTTTCTTTTCTTCCCTTCTCTATTAACAGGTAATTTTGAGATGAGACTGGGAACTTACTTGGCCTTTTTATTCTTTCAAAATACAGCTTAAGTAGCATCAATGCTGGGAAACTGTCTAGAGGAGACCTTGGAGACTGCTTTATTCCCTGTACTCCAAAAGGATGCATGGAACTTATCAGACAGACAGGTAAGGAGTTTTTCATTATTCATGAATGCAATAGTCTTCGATGAGAGGAGAAATTATGCTGCAAGGCTGTCTCTCATGCAGAAACTTTTGTTGAATTGCCATGTTTCATCTCTGCCTTTTCAAATAGGAAAACAGCTAGTTTAAAGCAATGCAAAACCCAAAAGATAAGTAGTATCCTGAAAGATTGAGACACATACTGACCAATATATTCTGCTACTGGAATGGAATGGAATGCAGAATGACATTTTATTTTTTCCTACCTTCCTGTGGTCCAGGCATCCAGGTTACAGGGAAACGAGCTGTAGTGGTTGGTCGCAGTAAGATCGTTGGTGCTCCTATGCATGACCTGCTGCTCTGGAATCATGCAACAGTAACCACTTGCCATTCAAAGACCTCAACTCTGGCTGAGGAGGTAAGGGAAGGGATGGACTTATAAGGCTGTAGTTATGTACTGCAAGTCAATGCTGCCAGCTGCATGTTTTTGCCTGATGTTGTCTAAGTCAGTGGGTCTGGATTGTTTTTCATCTGAAATAATTTTCCAGTATTGTTCATTGAATGGTTGCATGAATCTACTGCTGTTGAAGGCCCTTCCTTAGGGGGTTGCAACTATAACAGTAAAATGACTATTTTTTTTATTTGGGCAAGCACTGGGAATTCAGTCGTTCCTTCCTAATCTCCAAGTAGTGGCCTGCAAGACAGTGTATGTTTTTGTTTGTTTGTTTTTTCCCTAAAAAATCCAAGTGATCTTCTACTTTCATGGCTAGGAAATACTAGACCAAATTCCTTCTCCATGTTTTTTTTTCTACTCTGTTTTCTATGACTGGGAGTTTGTACCATTTTCTTCTTTAGCAGTAAGAGTGACAGAAATAGTGTGTTGCTGTGCTGCCACCTACTTGAATTTTGTTGAGCAATCAACACTGCCAGGCTTTGTAGGCAAGTATCAAAGCTGGAAAGGGGGTAGGTGTACTTGACTATAACTCAAATGCAAGATCAGAAACACTGTCTAAGATACAAATAAAAAAATCCAGGGGATAGCAGCTTCCTATTGATACAAATGAAGCAGCAGGGGAAGTAGCAAGGGGCTTTTGTCCAAGGTTGTGGTAGGAACTTTGTGACCAGATCTGTCATACTTGCTGATTACCACCTGAACAAAAACTGGTGCTGAATTACAATCAGCTTCCCCAGGTCTTGCATGTTATACAGTCCTGGATATGAAAACCACAACAACGCTGCCACAAATGAGGTGCAGCTTCCTGTTCTGTGTAGGGGTTGTTCTTGTCAGCTGTCTGATGAGTTCTGGGTGTATTTCCAGTAGTGAGAAGTAGATAATATGCAGCTTAATATGCAGGGATATTGGAAGGAAAGAAGATCAGAGTATGCAGAAGGCTTTCATCTAAAAGTACTGTGTATCATGTATTTGGGAATCATGGAAGAGTTCAAAGGAGGTTGTGAAGTGTAGACTAGCAACAGTTCAGGGTAGGAGCCTGAAAATAGGCTGCAATTTCTGGCTGTGGGAATTTGTCCTTGCCAAGAACTGTTAGCTACTTTTCATTGCTGATGATGCCCTTCCAGTCCTCTAGATGCAATGGGTGTGCACACAATTTCACTACAACTGAAACTGATTTAAATTGCTCTTGAAGCAGCTCTGCCTTTTTCTATTGTTTGTGATATGGAGTTGTTTGTATGGATATGTGTTTTTATTTTTAGGTTGCTAAAGCTGATATCCTGGTGGTTGCAGCTGGCAAAGCTGAAATGGTGAAAGGTGAATGGATCAAACCTGGTGCAATTGTAATAGACTGTGGAATTAACCATGTGCCAGGTGCGTGGGTAATGTATAAAGAGTGGGGATTTATTTGTGTATAAATGCAGTTGCTATGTAAGTACATGGATACAGTTTCCTTGGTATTTCTAGTCCATATGGATTTATTTCTCATCTAAGTCTGTCTTAAGTAATGATGGCAACCCCTCTGAAGATTCAAGAATAAAACAAAGATGGTTTTGAAGTACTGTTGTGAAGCAGATCAGTGATAGTTTTGTTTCTGCCATCAATAAGACTGATTATCTGTAGAGAAAAGAGGAGGCCTATGTAGTATTACAACACAGTATGTATGTAATTTGCCACATCCATATAGCTAAATCCTGCTGCTGTTGTCACTTGTGAGCGTGCAGCTTTGCTGTCGTTAATTTGCACAGTTAGATCTCATTAAGCTGTTCTGTTTGAAACACGTAAATGGCAAGCAGCCTCTTAAAGTAGCTGTGCATTTGTTGAATCATAACATTAACTTCTTAGGTTTGAATGACTGTTGTCTTGAAACAAAGCAGGTGCTGCAAGAAAATTGGTGACAATTGGCTCTGGCACAGAACAAAGTGCTTGAACATAATGGATTGGGGGTAGGGTTTCATTTAGCTGAGGAACAGGCAGTCTGGCAATTTCTGTTTTCACCTCATTTTAAATCCAAATTGCAGATATTCAATGATATGGAAAATTAGTCACCATCCAGCTATCTCTCTGCTACACCCACAGGGTTTTTAGAAGGTAGTTTTCATAATTAATCACTCATCTTGTTGCCATTTAATGGAATGTAAAGAAATTTCTGCTCAACAGTCTTATTCCTCAAAGATGACGTTGATTTGCGTTAAAAGCCATTGATCCTCTGTAATTAAAGCTTAAAAAAAAAAACAACTATCGGCTGTTGCTATTTGTTTGTTGAAATATTTCGTGCCAAGCTTCCCAAAGTTAGGCAGTTTGCCAAGAAGCAGAGTCACTGTTGTTATTGGTGAAGCAGCGACATCTGGGCACTACCCTGCTCATGTGTACCTTTGCATTTCTGACATGATGAATTTTTTTCAGGCTTGATCTGAACTGTATCTCTGTGGTCACATCCCTGTTTCCTTGCAGTTTGCTTTGGAACTGCACTGAGGCCTGGGTTTCTTATACTGCTAGCCTACTCAGTGTTATATGCCAATTTGTTTATGACACTGTGTGAAGCTCACTGGTCAAGGCTTGACAGCGTAGAGTTATCAGTGCTAGCCATGATGATGCTTTGAACAATGGGGAGATAAATAGCACAGTTGACATATGTCTTACCATAGCTTTAAGTGCACCCCGCTAGGTGCCTGCTGGGTGTACGTGTGATTGCAGCTGAAGAAAAGGGAAATCTCTGGATGTGCAGTTGTGGGATGCATCGGGCCTTGCATTTTACGTGTTACAGTTGAACAGAATTTCTTCCAGGTCTCTCAGTAGAGAGAGAATGAGAGAAGACTTCCTGAAACCTTTACAGAGAAGTGTGTCTTTTCTAAACATCATCGTATTTGTATTTCTCTCCTTACTGATGCAGGTGATTGCTAGTTCAGCAGGTGTTCTGAATGCCTTATTCCAGGCCTATAGGAGTTGCTTTGCCACTGGAATGAAGAGCATTGCAGGCAGAGAAGTTTCCCAGAGATGGCACGGTGTTTGAAGTGTCCCTCTGTGACTCCTGTTGGAGGAAGTGTTCCTATTCAGAGGATTCCTCTGATATGGCATTTTGCAGCCCTAGCCAATAAAGAACTTTAAACAGCAGAATGTGAGAGCAGGGGAAGAGGACCTGCTTCTTTTCATTTCTGTGCCATGCTCTTCAAACACAAGAGGAGCCAGAAAGATGCTGGAGGAATCTTGACCTCATGATGTTTCGGAGTTCTGGGAACTGAGTTGGCACCACACGCCAATAAAACCAGATTGTATTGAATCTGCTGTCAGACATCCTATCCACATACCATGTACATTGGTATAATGTACAAGTTTACAGTGTGAATATTCCCAGCTCTGATCTTACCAAAGTAGGACTGTAAATTAGTTCTGCAATTGGACCTGCAGCACCCCAGAGACAGAGATCATTGTGGCTGTTTGTTACATACGTGTACGTGTGTCCTTCATCTCTCAGATCTCAAAGTCCTTGGATGCTGTCCGTCATATGTTCTAGCTAGCTGGGTAACCTACTGTACCAAAGAAGGCACAGGCACAGGGAACAGTTATCAGTGTCACTGATGCTTTCTGTAACTCTGTAATTTAAGGCCAGAATGATGAATATTAAGAAGATAAAATTAATGGGAAGAAGCAGAAAGCATTGCATGTGAGTTTTCCTTCAAAAAGATTTTTTAAAAGTCACTGGATAACCTGTAAGTTGTTCTCAGCAGCACTTGGCATAAAGTGTGAATGCAGGGGCATGGACTTGGGGTTTATTTGGCTTGCGCTCATCACGGTGTCTGTCTTGTGTAGCAGATCAGGCTGTTTGTATTTGAAGTCATGTGTTTCATCACTTGATTTCTTCATTTTGAGGTCTGGAGCCTTTCTGACTGGGGTGGTTGGTAAGCTTGCTTGGAATCCAAGGAAGAAAATATAATCATACTGTTTGCCTTTTGCAAACTTAATTAATCCTGCTGTCTGAGCCGGAAGGCCGGGCTGGTCTGCAGTTTGGGAAGTAAAACTTGACAGTTGCTGTAGAAACAATGTTAACAGCTGTGACTTAGTTCAAAGCTTGAACTTCAGGGAAAATAAGTGTTGCTTAAAACATGCCTTCAGTAGAACACCCAAACAACTGATCGTCAGTAACAGTGCAGCTGAACATCCCTGCGGATAGGAGCTGCTTTTGTTCCCTCTTGCATTTTACCACAGTAAGCTGTTAATGAGTTTGCTTTCTCTTACATTCTTCCTCCTCATCAAATGTATGCATGAATAGAACATAATCAATAACTTGAGCATACATTTGTGGTATGCAAGATAATATTTCAATTTAACAGTATTAAAATCTGTCATGCGTTTTTTCACACTGCTTAACATTTTCTCAAGGCCTGATACCTAAAATAAGGATCTGCTACCCCAGGAGAAACTCACTTGCTTTTTTTGTTATACTGTGTCCGTAACTGGTGAGTTCCTTAGATGATTCTCATAGTTTACAAGTGCATTTTGTCTTTTTGTCTCCTATGGGTGACCTTAAATTTCATGTAGTACAGCAGGTGATAGCATTTGTTTCTGCCAGAAAGGAGATTGTTCTGCTGGAGCTCTTTTAAGTCACCTGTGAGGTTGGTTTTGATGAGACTGTTCTCTGTGACTGTAGTATTTACCAGTCCATTGTTAAAATGGCAGTAAGTAAGACTTTCTGTCTTCAGTTTCTGTAAAGGTAGATAATTTTATTCAATAGTAAGTTCTAGATTTCCTCCAAAACGGAACAGAGCAACTGTAAATCTTGGTTTTTGGAACAGCTACGTTCCTTTAGTGTCTTCTAGATTACTGATTCATATCTCCTTAGTACTGAAAGTTTACTTTTGTCTTCGGAGCAGTACTGCAAGATTTGTGAGAGGGTGGTTAATGTGACATCTCTGTATGTCCTGTTTGTGTGCTCTATATGCGCAGATGTAAGATCTGGTGTATGCTTTGCTTTCCCCAGCTGTTTTGGAGTCTTCAGATTGCCTTGTGGCAATCTCAATTCCTTTGAGAAAATATTTGATCTTGTGAAAAGGGAGACCCTCTGATGTCTGGCTGATAATAAATGGCACTTAATGGGAAGAGGTAGTGTATGAGCCCTAACGTTGTGGGTGAAGCATGGTGATAACAGCTTCATCTTAGGGTGTTGTTTTGTTTTGCAGCTTCCTGTATACTTAGCTGCTGATTTGGTTATTCCAACAGAGGAAAGGACTTCTGCTTTAGTCACTGCTGTTCTCTCTGTGTAACTTATTCTTTCCTTCAATCCCCAGATAGCACAAAGGCCAGTGGAAAAAGAGTTGTAGGAGATGTGGCATATGCAACAGCAAAAGAGAAAGCTTCTTATATTACTCCAGTTCCTGGTGGTGTTGGACCAATGACTGTGGCCATGTTAATGCAGGTATGTGAACAGAGTGTGAGACATCACAAGTCATCTCCTCTATGTTTGCTTTTGGGGTATATTGCTGCTGGCTGTCAGCACGCTAGGAAGAGAAGTTGGTGCTTCCTCCTTGCTCTTACAGAAGCCTAGTTAGTGTTTGCAGACCGATGAAGAAGGTGAACATGAAGAAAATGTTAGGAAGAACAGCTGCCTTGTGGATTTTTGTGTGTGCATGTGTGTTGTTTGGTTTTTCTTTTTAAACTGTACATCCTCAAAACTGTGAGAACTGGTTTGTTTGACAAAGCTCTGGATGTAATTCTAAAACTCTCCATAAGGTAATGGGGATAAGGAGGCAGAGGTTAGCAGAGGAAAGCTGCTCCCTCTGTTTATTTTGCTTAAGAGATGGTACTGACAAACAGCACTAAAAAAAAAGCACAGTGAAAGTTGCAACATATATATATATTAATATTTATATATAAATAAAATATTTTGCAGGACTGGATTTTTATCTATCAGCATCTCTACAGATCCAGGCAAATCTGTCTGTATTCCTCTCAAGGAAATTCAAAGCAAAACCTCATTCTGCATTGTTAGCAATAGTTCTAAATTAAAGCACTTTATATTAGTCCAAACTGAGATAAAGAGGAGGGGAAGACTCATATAAAGCTCTGTTAACCAACAAGGTTCCTACAGCAGTTGTTGCTGTAATGCCTTTTCATGCTTGATTTAGAGTACAGTGGAGAGCGCGCAGCGTTTTCTGGAGAAATTCCAGCCTGGAAAATGGAGCATCCAATACAACCAACTTACCCTAAAGATGCCTGTTCCAAGGTAATGCTTTCAGTGAAGCTACTGATGATATTCATGCGTTGTAATACTCACTTCTGTTGGCAAGTTTTGTATAATATAAGGCAAACAAGTATGTAGAGTGTAACTGGGGTTGAAGTTTGGAGAGACATAGAGAGAAAGCTGGTTGAGGTCTCCCAGGAGAGCAGAGCTAACCGTCAGTGGTCCTGTGGCACATGCTGAACATAGGCTTGGGGAATCCTTAGAACATTCAGCTATAAATATGGTTTTCCACAGACGTTTTGTATGAGCTAGAGACTTGCTGACTCAGCATGTAGCAACTTTTCTATCTGACATGGCAAAAGCCTGGCGCCTTAAAGTGGGAGTTGGTAGAATCCACAAGGATTTGAAAATACGGAGAATATGATAGCAGAGCCTTACGTGGTATCTACAGAAAGTCATTCTTTTGTATAATTTTGCTTGTTTAATTTTGTTGTTGTTGTCCTCTGAAGGTACTTGTATTCTGCTGTAGCCAATATTGGTGGAATTGACTTTTTTGTTATTAGGAAAGGGTGAAGCTTCCCTTTCAGAATGTAGATCAAGTGCTTTTGACTCATGCTGCCAAAAGCGGGACGTTTGTGGGAAGTCGGTAATATTTACTAATTGCCCTTGCTCTCTTTCTTTCAGTGATATCAAAATATCACAGTCATGCATACCCAAGCCCATTAATCAAGTTGCAAAAGAAATTGGTCTTCTCCCTGACGAAATAGAGCTGTATGGCCAAACTAAAGCCAAGGTTCATCTGTCAGCTCTGAAACGTCTGAAGAACCAGCCTGATGGCAAATACGTCGTTGTTACTGGGTAGGTACTATGTTAAGTAAGGAGACATCGCTTACATGGTGTCAGGATGAAGAGAAATTTTGATAGTGTTGCTTGTCTTGTGGTAAGCAGACTGTATGAAGTACTGGCATTAGTTGCAGTCAGTAGGTACCTGTATGATGCCTGCAACTGTTTTGAGGCTCAGCTACTATAGGAGCTTCATTGTATCTGGTGTACTTTCTCACTGCAGGATTACTCCCACACCTCTGGGAGAGGGGAAAAGCACCACCACCATAGGTCTTGTTCAAGCCTTAGGAGCGCACCTGCACCAGAATGTCTTTGCTTGTGTTCGGCAGCCATCTCAGGGGCCAACTTTTGGTATAAAAGGTATGAGCTGACTAAATGAAGGGAAGATAGCAGGATGAAAATCTTTGAATGCTGCACTGTAGTTTTACATAATTCCCAGTTAGGATGGCATTTCTTTAAGAAAGAAGAACCTTGGTAAGTTCTTCAGTGTTTTCTCAAGTGCTATGCTGGGACATTAACTAAGCTGCCTTCTTAAAGTCATAATGGAATACATATATTACCAGCCTGAGCTAGAGAGACCTTTATTTGCATGATTTGACTGTTGTCTTTCCATAGGAGGAGCTGCTGGAGGTGGCTATTCTCAAGTTGTTCCCATGGAAGAGGTAATTGTTTATACAAAGTCTCATTGCACAGTTAGTTTGCAGACCTTGAAGAAATATTGCAGTCAGATAACTTAATATTTTTTTTATACCTCCCGGAGTAGCATTGCAAGAATGATTGCTTGATTTCAGCAAAGCTTTTTTAGAAAATGCACTTCTTTGTTTGTTTCAGAAAAGTGTCTGCATGGTCAGGGAATTTAACAGAACTGAGAATTCCCTGTCCCTCTGTTCCCTCCCCTCTTCTGCCCCAAATTACTGCATACCCTTGAGCAGAGTACATCCTGTACCTCTTTTTCCCAGCGCTGAAATTAAGATTATAATGACTTAATATGTTTTGGAAGCATATTAAATAGTTCTGTCAGCAAGAGTGGTCATTGACTCCTTCTGTGAGCTATTTTGGTCTGCTTGTGTTTTAGATTACTGACGTGGAATGGGAAAAGGGAAAATGCAAATCAATAATGCCAAGACCTGAGCCTGTGGGTGACTGGCACTGCAGTGCTTTTTTTTCATGTGACTTGGCAACAAGTGAAATCCTCTCTGGAGGCAGGGAACTGACAGGCACATGTAGCTCCTGCTCTTGTGCATCCCCCAACTCTCTTGTAATTACCTGTAGAATCTTACCTTTGTCTTGTGCACCATTGGTTGACAGAGGACAGTTTTTGGAGGAAAAGCAAAAATGATCAAAAGGGCTGTTTGTTCCTATTGGTGCAGCAAGTCCACAGAAGATTTGATGTGGGATGGGGGAAAGGAAAAAATGTTAAGGAGGCAGATGATTGATTTAGTCATGTGCCAAAAGCATGTGTGAATGATAAATGTGACAGTAACAATAATCTCCTCCTGTTTGAGAGTGTTAGTAAGACAAGATAAAAGACTGGGGTGTGTGCAGCAGTGGGAGACAGACCCACACTTGAAATAAACAGGCTGAAAGCTGCCCAAGGAGGCTGTGGATGCCCCATCCCTGGAGGCATTCAAGGCCAGGCTGGATGTGGCTCTGGGCAGCCTGGTCTGGTGGTTGGTGACCCTGCTTATAACAGGGGGTAGAAACTAAATGATGATTGTGGTCCTTTTCAACCCAGGCCATTCTGTGATTCTGTGATACACAGGAAGGACTTCAAGTAGAAGTCCTTTCTACCACATGGTAGAAAAATACGTTGTGGTCTTGTGGGAGTATTTTAATTGTGCATGACTCCAAGTACTAACGTTTTATGATATAGTAGATGCAATAATGACCTTGATATCAGATGTTTCTGCATGCAGCTTTCATCCCAGAAAACTATTAGCAAGTGAGACATTTTTCAATGATGACTGTAGAGCTGAGGTAGTAATAATTGCTTCTTATTGTATATATGTAGAATAAGAAAAACTGGCATTTCCTGGTTAGGATTTATAATTGCTGTGTGACTAGTTCCACTCTGGCTTTTTTTGCTGTTTGATTTATAAGACCACACTAGCAGAGCTCTGACACAGTGGTATCATAGTCTTCTGTCATACCACTTTATTATTGTCAATTTTTCATCTTCTTCCTGTGCTGCACTGCTACAGATAAAAAGAATCATCTTAACAGCAACCTTTCCTTCTCTGTCCTAATACAGGTTTGTCAAATAAACTCTATATCCAAAATCTTTTTTCAGTATAGCTACAGTGCAGGAAGAAAACTCACGTAGACAAACCCACTCAAACCGTTTTTTAACTAGATAGAACCTAGAAAATTACTAGTGTTGTCACTGTGTAGTATGTGGTCTGCAAGGCCTGCCTACAGTACTGTGTGTGAGTGGTTAGCTTATGCAGAGCTCTTTGCAACCACAGTTTTATTGCTAGCACCACCCAAGGTTGCTGGCTTGAATTTAGCTCAGATGTGTTTGTGGGAGCAGCAGGAGCTTTAGCTAAGGTATGTGTGAAGCCTGTTGTGCAAGTGATGTGAGTGGGTCAGGAGGGGGAAGGAGGAGCAATGCAGATATGCCGTACCATGTTGTTCTCAGATATTAAGGAATGGTTCTTGTGTAAAAAAAAAAATCGTATTTGGAAGCTCTGTTCTGGAAGTTTGTAAAATGACATAAATGTGGGGGAGGCATTTTTCTGTTTTACAGAAATTCTTTCCTCACTTCCACACGCTGCACTGAGCAATCTCTTCCCCCTCCACCCTCACTCGCTTTAGTGTTGCTATTAATATGTCTCTCTCCACCTGTCTACGATGTATTGAAATATATGAAAATTGCAGCAAGATGAGATAAGCGATGTGTTCTATGTCCTTCAGTTTAACCTTCACCTCACTGGTGACATCCATGCTATCACTGCAGCGAACAACCTGGTTGCTGCTGCTGTGGACACACGTATGTTCCATGAGCTAACTCAGAGCGACCAGGTAGGATCCTTTCTTGTGGTGTATTTCAACCCATCTTATTCTGGTCAAGATGTTTGGGGTGTGCCAGCAGTACTAACTGTATATTTTGTTCTGCCAGGCCCTCTATAACCGTTTGGTGCCTTCTGTCAACGGAGTCAGGAAGTTCTCAGAGATTCAAATCCGAAGACTACAAGTAAGTTCTCTAGTTTCACACTGGTTTCTGATTCAGTTCCACTTACTCTGCCTTTATTTATTCTGAGTTTGGTTACAAAAACATTTGTGTTGCTCTGTAGGTCACAGAATCACCTAGGCTGAAAAAGACCTTCAGGATCATAGCCTGACTTATGGAGTAGCCCCATCAATAATTTATGTCCTTTAGTGCCATGTCTGCATACCTCTTAAATACCTCCAGGGATGCATATTCCACCATTTCCCTAGGCAGCCTGTTCCAGTGCCTAACCACCCTTTCCACAGAGAAATTCTTCCTAAAAGCCATTTTAAACCTCCCCTAGCTCGGCTTGAGACTGTTTCCTTGCACCCTGTCACTTATCATCTGACATAAGAAACTCACTAGACCAACCAACAACTGGATTGTCATTCCGATAGCATTTATTTTCTGCATCAAGCGTGCAAAAGTCTGGTAGCCCATGTTACAGCACGGGTAACAATGAGATGAAGCTTCAAGGGGAAGAATCGTTGATTTGACTTGTTATATGCTGTGTGAGTAACACAGTGGGAAGAAGCAGAGAGATTAGTGCCCTTTGTAATAGTGACAATTTAGTGTTCTTAATGTAGTTTCAGAGAAGACCAGCATTAGTCTTTGTCCGTTACAGTCAGCTACAGATAAAGATGAATAATTCCTGTTCATGTGACAGCCGTATAGATAATGCAGCACCAAAAAGACAGTTTACAAAATTCAGCAAAAAGAGAAGGTAAAGATTTTCTTGTCTTATCCAGATTGAGCAAGCAGGAAACAGAAGAAAAAATGTGCGTCCCCTACATCCCTTACTTCTTGGCTCAGGAAAGAGAATCTCAGTTAAATGAGTACACCTACCATTGAATGTTGGACCCTGAGCAGGTCACAGTTCCTCAGTTCTCAGTAATGAATGTGAACCTGTGTGTCCCTGGCCTCTTAAAAAATGAGGAACAAGAGTAGTTTTGCATTGGGCTTAACCTTCTGGCTAGGATGACAAAATAGGACCTGCTAAGCTTATTCCAGGAACAAGCCTGTTTGAACGGTATTCATGCTCTGTCAGTTGCCCACTTGGAGGCCAGGACCAGTAGAATACTTAGGAAGATAAAACTCTGATTTATTAATTAGCTATAATTTTTCTACCGTTAGAAAATACATGGCTTGCTTCACTGCTGAGCAAAGTAGTTCTGTCACGTGGCTTGGTAGACTGTAAGGATGCTAATACTCGAGAAAGAGGATCTTTTTCATGGTACGGTGGGGATTTGTTTGTTTGTTTTTAATGATGTACTTGAAGAGGAAGAGAACAGACCTCTTTCTTCCCTGCTGTTCTTCTGGAGAAAGTAGGGCTTAGCTGTCTAGTTAATTAAAAAAGGCTTGTTCATTCATAAATCAACTCAATCGTTTTCTTCATTTCTAAGCTTGCTCTTGTATCAGTCTTGAGATAATTCTTCTCTCAATTAAGCAACTTGGCAAACTGCCCATCCTCTCAGTATGTTCAGGATCAGGTTTCTGGGATGCTGACAGCCTTGTGATCGAATTGTTTAATTCCTCCTTTGTGCTGCTTAACCAGCATGCTGAGAGCCGTGTCTTCAAATATGTATGGCTGTGTGCAGTGACCCTAGGCAAACTAATGAGAAATGGATGTAAGCATGTGAAACTAATGATTAGAACAAGGCATGTAAGAAACTGCAGAGCTTTCTTTCTTTCTTATGTTTTCTGTAGATGCCTTGCACAAAATTAGGTGACAGGCTGCCCTGACAAGCTCTATTATCTGCACTGCCATTTGCTAGTTGGCAAGCAGCAAGCTCTGCTTCCAGATTTACACTGATATGGATCAATTTATGTTGTTGTGGGCTTGAAAGGACGCTGGTAGGGCATTTCCTCCTTATTTCTGAATATTCAGGTGCTGCTGCCAAAGGCCAATTGTTGTAGTGAAAGGTTCATTTCTCTAAATCTTTTCATGATACTTTATAATTATTATTATTATTATTCTTTCCTCCCACAGAAATTGGGCATTAGCAAAACTGATCCTGCAGCCTTGACAGGGGAGGAAGTAAACTTATTTGTGAGATTGGACATCGATCCGGCCACCATAACATGGCAAAGAGGTACGAGAACCATTGAATTATAGTATTGCTAAAAAAAAAACAGCACCAGAACTTATCAAATGAAGTTGCAAGTACAGAAAGAACAAAGTTTTCTGGGATAAAGGGAAGCAAAGCAGTTCTGGTCTCTCTGCTTGGTGGGATGGGTACCTGCAGATGGGATCCTGTTTCTAAAGGGTTTGACACCAGGACTTGAACCTTAATCTTTGAGAGTTCAAACTGGGCCTCACTAATTGGTGCAAGTTTCTGCTTGTGGTTTTGATGGTCACTGAGAGAGTTTTCAGTTTGGCAACTGTAGCAAACAGTCTTTCTGCCTGCACACTTGAGAAGGCCTGTGAGCAAGGAGAGGCTACTGCTCTGGAATTAAACTGAGTTTTAGTCTGCCCAATGGCTCTCTTGGGGACTGACAGCAGAAAAAGGCTCAGTGTTTTTTTAAAACATGTTTAAAAATACCTGAAGTAAGATCAATCTCTGGTCTTACTGAATTAATATTTCACTCATGAAAGGAATTTCAGATGGGGGGGTGGGGCAAAGGTGATTTAGACCCCAAGAGTATTGCTTTTCCTTCTTTTTATGAAAATACAATCTGAAATTACTCTCCAAAACTTGCTTCATAACTTATAATGGAACTAAATTAGTCTGCCTCATGGGAAGTATTTAGAATTTTTCGAGAAGCTCATTACAAAAAAATAAAAACAAAACAAAACAAAAAAAAACCAGCAAATTTAAGCCATGATCGTTTATGGCTTCAAGGGTAATTTGAAGTTATATTAAATATAAATTCAAGGGTAATTTGGAGTTATAGGGAACGTCATTAAATAGTAGAATCTGACCGTTTTATCCTTTCATTTACAAAATGATAATTTCATTTCTTTTTTCCATAGTAATTTCCTGATTTCATTTTGACTAATAATGGTGAAAAAGAAATTGGAAACCAGCAGCTCCTTTTCTCAGAGAGGTTTTGGATTTGTGGTTATTGAGCACACAGGGAGGTAGACTTCTGGGTGCAGTGCAGTCTGCACTGACTGTGAGCATCTTAACATCGTTGCAGTTCAGCTGGAGAGGATGGTGTCCCACGCTGCCATCCTCTGCTCATGGCCTATCTAGCCAAGAGTTTGTGGTGATATATAGATGTGATTTAGGTCATGCAGTGTGACTTCTTATATCTTTCTTTCTTCATCCTCACAGTACTGGATACAAATGACAGGTTCCTTAGGGGAATCACTATTGGACAGTCTCCAACAGAAAAAGGCTTTTCACGAACGGTAATTATTCTTTCTTGCATCTTTTAAAAAAGCACTTTGAAAAGCATGATCCTGAAGTAAACTTCTTCAATTCCAGATGTTTGTCTTACTGGTACCTTGTTATAGAGACAGCAGAAAGTCTCTTTGACCAAGCAGTTAAACTTGCTATCAGTGCAATGTATAGTTTTAATATCTGTTCTTTTCATACCTTTCTTGATTGTTGGATTCCTGAATTGGGATGGCTATGGTGTAGTAACAGTGACATATGAATGCTCTCTACAAATATGGTGCCTGGCAATTGCTAATCTTATGCAGTGCACATGCTTTGGGTGGGATGCATCTGGCCCTAATTTAACACCATATCTGAGCTTGTTATCTAGATACATTGCATATGTAGAAAAATAGGCAATCAGGACCGTGATTTCTTTCATCCTTTAAGTAACTGTCAAATTAGTAGTTCAGATGAGTTGTGCCCACAGAAGCCTCTTTTTATTCATCAGGAAAGGTCTCTAGGGTGCCTAGCTTCAATGGAGGCATTGTGTTATATTAGATGAATTCTACCCTTCATTTGCTATAGAACCAGTTGCTGGTTTTCATGTTGGTTTTTTTTTTTCCTTTGGCTTATACTGTACTGTTTAGCAATGGTTAAATGTGAGTTAGTAAGCTCAGTCTTCAAAAATGTATTGTTGGTGTTAATGTTCTTACATGAATCACCAGTTTTGTGCCAGGATGGAGTCATGTAACAGCAATGAAGTGAGTGTATCTTACTTTAATTTGCAGAAAATAATCTAATTTGAAACTTTGAACTTAAATTGCGTATATTTTGAGAGTAACATTTTAGATTTGTTCTCATGGATGTATGTCTGTATTTATTTCTTATTATAATGGTGATAACTGGCTTCTTTTTTCCACCCCAAGAATTTGAGTAAGGTAAAGATTTCTGCTGAGGAATCTTGATGAATTCACATCTTTATTTGTCTCTTGAAGGCTCAGTTTGACATCACAGTGAGCAGTGAAATCATGTCAGTTTTAGCACTCTCTGACAGCCTGGATGACATGAAAAAGCGGCTGGGCAGAATGGTAGTAGCTTCCAGCAAGAGAGGAGAACCGGTTACAACAGATGACCTTGTAAGAGAGCTATTCCATTCTTGAATGCTAACTTTCTTCTATTACTTCTGAAAGTCCTTGGATTGAAAAATATTGAGATGGTTCTGTATGGTTACTAAGTAGAATATTAGAGATGAAATGTTAGTCTCTGGAGTTAATAAAGGATTTCTTCTTCAGCGTGGCTAGCACCTTACACAGATACTGTGCATACATGTGTTTTGGGTAGGGACAAAGGGTTCTGTGCAATGTACTGTGTATCAAATCAAAACTAGCACTGTAGGAACTAAGGAGGAGTACATGGTGGCTTTTAAATTAAAAAAAGCCTATTTACAAATGAGAAGAATTCAGAATGCATCCTGCTGGCCACCCGATTTTTTTTTTTTTTTTTTTTTTAAGCTTCCTGGAGAAAGGAGAACATAAAGCAGGGACAAAGCCTGGTGCAAATTTAATTACAGATGATGAGGTATCTTATGCTGAGAGACTGTGAATACTATAAAAGTCAAACTTGTGGAAGGTTTCCATAAGGCAGCCTTTGTGAGAGGCACAAATCTATTTGCACTGAATGAAATGTTTAATTTAACAGAACTAGTGATGTCTGTTACCAGTATGTAGTTATAAGCAACAGTGCCAGCTGCAGTACTGTCTTGCAACTGTCCAAGTGCAGTTCTTGAAACATCTGTGGAGTGTGTCAGGTCAGTTAGAACTCTCCCATGCAGTGCTTCAGCATTGTTCAGGGGGTAGCTTGTGCTCCAGGTGCTTTTTCCAATATTTTGTAGGTAACAACCCTGTGTGGAGAAGGTGAAGGGAACTGAGCTCTGTATGTGAACTGTGCCCTGTCACTTGGCTTCAAGACAGAACACGGGCTCAGGACTGTTCCACTAGTCAACAGAGGAGCACTACTGGTCTTCTGTTGTATGTTTTTGTTTTATGTTCATCCCACAGTAACTGAGAAGCAGTTGATGGGCAGTATGGCCTGACTGTGGACCTTCAGCAAAAGAACTAGGCTGGGAAGCACTTATCTGTAAAGTGTCTTGATGTGAGACATTTGTTGGGGGTGAGAAGGAGCACGTACCAAAGTTCTGTAGGTAGCTTTGAGATTTTAATTCCTGATGCTAATGCGCTGTCATGCTTTAACCTTAAGTACCAGAGTTAAATCCCCATTCTGGAAAACAGAAGTCACTCCTGCTGCCCGTCAATGGTGGGAACTTGTGCAGGGAGTTGCTTTATGAGTTTCACATGGGATCTAAGACTTGTAGTTGTTAAGGCTTTTTTTCCTCTTTTTTTAAATTTTTGTGTGCTGTAACTGTGGAGTGGAGGATGATACCAGGTCTGTCCAACAGGTCCTCAGGTTTTGCACATTTTTGCAGGTGGTGGGCATTGGCTTGCTTGGTTAGGACTGTGTTTCATACCCCTCATACTGGCCGGAACATGGTGATTGTAGAGACCAGACTGACACAATCAGATATCCAGATCCTTCTGCTGTGATATAACCAGTATCACGAGGGCCAGTATCAAAAGATCTGGGGAGAAATGAGGAATCAAAAACTGACTCTGGGTTTTCAGAGAAGAAGGTGTATTGAGGTGCTATTGATTGACAGGCCTGAAATGTCATCATGGAAATCTTGCTCTGTATCTTTCATTATTCTAGAGATGACTGAAGTTTAAAGCTTATCCATTAAATGTTAACTAAGCTTTCATGTAGCAAGATTGAGACTAATGAAACATAGCAGTGAATGTCTTTAAAAAAATATAGATATATAATTGAGTGCTGTAATTCAATTGACATTAAAAGGGAAAAAGAAATTGTCTTGAAAAACTTTCCCTGCTTTTTGCCATTGAATGGGGTGCAGGAAAGCATGTGTACCTAAGGGTTACATTCTCACTGCTCTTCCTTTCTCACCTCATTATAGCATTGAAAGAGCAGTTTGTCTTCACTGCTAAGCAAGGTCATAATGGAAGAGGCTGCATTCAGCAGAAATCAGCAATTGCTGCATATTGTGCAGCAACTGCTGGTTGTGTTCCTGCAGGCTCGCCAGAAGGTCTCGACACAGCATAGGAACTGTCTCAGCACATCTGGAAACTGATAGCTGTCTTTGCTTTTTCTTTTAGGGAGTGACTGGTGCTCTGGCTGTCTTGATGAAAGATGCTGTTAAGCCAAACCTCATGCAGACGCTAGAGGTGAGCATGGATGATTTCACTCTGTGTTCTCAGAAGCAAGGAGCATCTGGTCAAGCTCATTCATCACAGTCAGTGTGGACTTACTCTGTTTAGACTTAGAAGCTTGTTGTGGTTTCCTACCTAAGATTCAGGTCTGCCATCAGCATGTGGATGGCCCTGGGGAAGAGCAGTACCTTGCTGTGCCTGTTTTGTTGAGCAATGTGAGGAAATGTTTTGAAAATCTAGATGGTATGGGTGCAAGAGATTGGCAGAGTTGCTAAGATTTAGCCATCCATTTCCTAAGTGGGTTAAGATCTCCACTTCTGCAGATTATGATAATCCAGTTGGTGATGCAGCCCTTAGTACTGATAACGAATATTTAATCAGAGGGCTTTAAGATCTGTTTTCTAAGAACTTCTTTTTTTAAGCTTCAGGTACTGTAGTGCTTAGCTCCTGAAATGATGCAGATGTGCAAAATGTTACCCTCTCATTTTCTTTATTTCTCTTTGCCTCCCTTACCCTCCTCCATTTCCTAGGGAACTCCTGTGTTTGTTCATGCAGGACCTTTTGCCAATATTGCACATGGGAATTCTTCAGTGTTGGCAGACAAAATAGCACTGAAGCTTGTGGGTAGAGAGGGTTTTGTTGGTAAGTGTGTGATATTTGTTTGTTTTTCAGGAAAAAATTTCCTCTTTTTTTTTATTATCATGACTACCTTTGCTGTTTTTTTTTTTCTGTCCCAGAAGAAACCTCTGATTTCCGTAATCAGAGCACTGATTTCTCTGCCCAACATCCTCTCACAAACTTCTATGTTGTTGGTTTTTTTTCCTATTCCAGTTACAGAAGCAGGATTTGGTGCAGACATAGGCATGGAGAAATTCTTTAACATTAAGTGTCGTTATTCTCATCTCCGGCCTAATGTGGTGGTGTTGGTTGCAACTGTCCGAGCTCTGAAAATGCATGGAGGAGGGCCTGCAGTAAGTAGTAAACAAGGTTTTATTTAGGGCTGAGGGGCTTTTGTTCCAGTCCAGCCACTTAAAGCTCTGTAGGGTTTGATTTGCTTATAATTGTCTTGAGATTTACAGTAATCCATATGTCCCTTGCAAGCTGCTTCACTGTAGTATGTTACATATACATACTGGCTCATCTTATGTTCCCAAAGAAGTATGCTGGGGCACATTTGTATTTGCTGTCATCATAATCTTAGTTTGTTGTACTGTGAGAACATCTTGGCAGTCTTTTTTTTTCTCTTAGAAAAAAAAGGATCAGGCTGGAGTAGAACAGTGTATCTTGATGCAGTTTAATAAGAATCAAGTGCAAATTGTCAGAATAAAATCTTGTCGGGTACCCCCCCCCCATTTATTTTATTATTATTTTTTAAATTCACTCTCCAGGTCACTTCTGGGATGCCCTTGCCAAAAGAGTACACGGAAGAGGTAATCTTATCTTCATTAGCTATTGTGTCAGTTGACCAATTAACTGTAGTCGTTACACGACATTATCGTTCAGTGCATGTGTGGATAGCTAGTGTGTGTCATTTCTGTAGCTAGCAGGGAAATGCTTCCTTGTACAAGCTTTAATGTTCTTTTTTCTGTTTTGTTCTAATGCTGTTACTTTGGCTCTGCTCTTTCAAGCATTTATTGTACTTGACCTAGCCAGCACTCAGAGCCTTCCTTTTCTCCTGAGCTTGCATAATTGTCCGTGCGCTCAATTTTTCATAGTGATGTCTGCTCAGTGTCCCTTGACCCTCTCAGTATAGAGTGATTGCCTAGCTGAAATATTGTGTCTGAAAATATTCGGAGTGCCTGTCTAATTACTCCCTTCTTAGCAGCGGCAGTTTTGTTTTCCCCCTGCCCTTCTTTTTGCAAGCAGGGAGGAAAGTGAACTAAATCTGCTTCTGCCCTTCTGCCTCAAATAGTTATGTACACTTGGGTAATTGATCTGGTTCAGCTTTTTCACTTCTAACGCTTCTCTATGGATTACTCTTTTGACAAGAAGGGATGAAATGTCTTCCATGAATAATCTCTGATGCTGTAAAATGTAAATATATATAAAGTGAAAGCTGTTATCACAAACTTCAAACAAATGTCACGAAATTCACTGCTAATGATATTCAATACATGAAGACGGATGTGTCATAGAGGAAAGTGAGGTTTTACTGTGAGGAGATAATGAGCATAGTATTGACTTAATAACAAAAAATGATCGTGGTTTCTCCTACCTTGATTTTCATCTTCAGCTACAAAGTTATTAGAAACATTCATTCCTTTTCCTGTTTTCCATGCAAGACCATGCACTGGTCCTAAGTGTTCAGAAAGCAGCTCTGAAATTTTGCTTTTGTGGTTTCCGTTCCTGTTTTGGCACTTAAATAATGAGCTATGGATGCAGTGGATTTGGAGCAAAGGTTTCACTGTCTCTCATAAAATCTATGTTCTGTTTGCTCTCTTTTTTTTTATTCTTTTTTTTTTTTTATTTTACAGAATCTTCAGCTGTTGGCAAAAGGTTGCAGTAACCTAAGCAAACAAATCCAGAACGCTCAGCTGTTCGGTGTCCCAGTAGTAGTGGCTGTCAATGCTTTCAAGTAAGTGAGCTGGGCTGTGGAACTGATGCATGAGAATAAAATGGTGGCACTTTTTATGCTACATTTAACACGCTGTCTTGTTTTCAGCACTGTCAACATGTTGTTTGCAGAAAGCAGCATTCTGCAGTGCTTGAAGATACTGAATAAATAGTGGAGCTCTGCTCAGTCATTTCAAATGCATCCTCTAGTTTAGTTTAGCTAAGGATCTTGTGATCGATGACTGATGTGCCACTGCTTACAGCCGAACTGGCTAAGTTCTGTAGACAAAAGGTGCCTGTGACAATATGGAGTCTAAGCTCATAACAGATGGTGAGGTGCCTGTGCTGGAGACCACATTGCATTCAGTGGTCTGCAGTATGGAATCATGCCAAACCAAGAAGCATTTAAGGCTCTGCATGTTGTACTACAGAGGAAGCAGATTCTGTGTGTGGTCTTTCTTTATACAGGCTGAAGGGCTTTGAACTGCTGTGTTAAAGCTGATGCCAGTTGAAGCAGAGTAGCCAGCTGAGGATTGTTCATCTGAAGTGAATGTGTATTAGCTGTTTTAGAGAAACTACGGTTTTTAGCATAGTGTGCATATGATATAGAACATCTTAGCATCAAATCAGCAAGTACTAATGCCTTTTTGAGTTCTCATCTGAAAACAAGAGTTGTGTTATTGGTACAAGCACAAAGTCTGGAGAACTGTTGCTGGCAGTCTTGGGTTTGTGCATACAGTTCCAGGCCAAGATCTTGCTCGCTGTTTGTCTTTGCGTGGCATCCTTCACCAAGGTGGAGCAGCCTTGTGGCAGATAACTCCTCAATAGATATGGCTTCCTGATGGCTGGATCCTGTGATTCCAGCATTTAACTTCTGTTGACAAGAATGAGAGAAGGGTAGAACAAACCATTCATTTACTGTGCGTACGTTCTGATACAAATACACAAACTTTTTCTTTACAGGACAGATACAAAGGCTGAACTGGCTCTTCTAGTACAACTGGCAAAAGAAGCAGGAGCATTCGATGCTGTGGAGTGCACTCACTGGGCAGAGGGTGGTAAAGGAGCTGTTGCATTGGCTCAGGCTGTTCAGAGAGCATCACAGGCACCCAGCAACTTCAGGTTCCTCTATAATGTAGAGGTAAGAGCTTGCATGATTACAGAGGTACTTTTTTTTTTTTTAAATAAGTTGGAGATTAGTTGGCATGGCTTAGTTGACTGAAAGTTGCCTAAAAGTCTGCTCAGAGAACCTGAGAAGAAATGGCTTCTGGAATATAACGTTTACTCCACGGGTCTCAAATATCTAGTTTGTTACTTCCTGTTGTTTTGACTACTAAATGAAATATAGTTTACTTTCAATAGTGGAAGATGCTGCTCTGACACAACATGAAATGGCAAACAGGTTACTGCTGTGACAGACAGACATGTTCCAGGGCAGGGAGAAGTTTATTCTTTGGCCTGTGACATGCATTCTTGTCAGAATGACAAGACTGGTACAACTGTCATCAAACTTGTTACCTTACTCGAGGATTTCTGGGTGTGCATGGTGCTCCCTATGAGAATATAATAGGCTGTGGAACAGCAAATGAAATGTCCATTTCTAACTTGTTTCTTTCTCTGGAAATAAGTCTTACAGTTTTACAGTACAGGTCAGGTGGAAGAGTGTGTGTGTGTATTTCTAGTGACTTTGTACTTAGACAAATTTGATGGTGACTCAGAGTCACTGTTAGTTACCATGTTGTGGCCTGAAAGTGCCTAGGCTGTGCTCACCTGCCTGTCTTTTTTTCTAGCTCCCTGTTGTAGATAAAATCAGAATTATTGCACAGCAGATCTATGGGGCAAGTGACATTGAGCTGCTTCCAGAAGCACAGGAGAAAGTCGCTGTGTACACTAAGCAGGTTAGTTCTTCCCTGTCACCTGATACCCAGTGGTGTTTTCATTTTAAAATAATCATATTGAAGTGATGTTCAAACTGCATATAATAGGGGATCATCACCCAACGTGTGTCCAGGGCTCACTGGATGCTGCCATGGCAGAGGAGGATGAGAAGGTATTGTGGGAAAGGAGAAAGTGGCCCTGGCTTTTAGTGCAGACAACAGAACTGATCTGTCTCAGTAATACTTCTCTAATAATGTGTAGGGGAAAAAAGTGGAAAGCAGATTCAGTAATCTCTCTATGTTCTCCCATGTATACTTTCTGCACTCCCCAGTTTAACAGTTTGGGAATTGTGGAACTACAAATGGTCAGACTGGTGCTAAATAGTCTCTGGTTTTTGTTATTGCTGTTTGGTTTATTTTTTGTCATGTCCCACTGAGTTGTCCAATCAGTTTTTAAACCCATATAGATTTTGGGCAGTCACAGCCACATTTTTTCTTCTTGAACATGACGTTCTTGTAAATTTACCTGCTTTTCAGATACCTTCTGCATTAATGAAGGTTTGTAATGGGTTGTGTAGAGGAAGGCAAGGTGAGAATTGTCCATACTTTGTTTAGTGTGCTTGAACAGTTTTACTTCTGGATTTCATGTACTGCTGGCATATGTCATTTCTTGTTTTTTGTATTTCTTGTAAATTCCTTTACAGTTCTATTAAAATACCATAGCTGTGTAATTGCTTCTTCCTCACAACATGCAATTATATTGATCAAATACTTCTCATTAACCCACTTCAGCTCTGTGAGCACCTTAGTTCTGAGCTGTTTGAATTAACATTTTGGGAAGAGAGTAGAAAGTAAGCTAGCTATCTAGATATCCAGCACTTCCATAATGCTTCCATACCATTAACCTTTTCCTCAGTTGGACGTGCGGGGATCCATAGTTATTCTTCCTGTAATAGTAGGAAGAGAGAAAGAACGAGGATGCAGAATGGTCAATGGATCAGATAGGGCGAAGAAATTGCATTAAAATTACCTGGTAACACTGAGGATAATGCATTGAGGTAAAATAGAGCTGTAATTTTTGCATACAGGAATGGTTACTGTTTTTTCACTTACTTCTGTCCTCTTTCTCTTTTCTTTTTCATTGTCATGCCCAGGGCTTTGGAAACCTGCCAATCTGCATGGCTAAAACTCACTTATCATTGTCTCACGACCCTGAACAGAAAGGAGCACCTACAGGCTTTATTCTGCCAATCCGAGACATTCGGGCCAGTGTTGGTGCTGGGTTCCTGTACCCACTGGTTGGAACGGTGAGTGAGTGAGTAAAACCCTCAGCTGTGGGGTGAGAATAACACTCCATGTACAGCCAGTTATGAAAGGTATCTCCAATGAGAAGAGCTCTTATCATCTGTAAATGACGTTTTAGTTGTCCAGATGCCCTTTGTAAGTTTTTTTTCAGATGGAAGAGGGGAGCTAAAATAAACCATGTGAGCATTTGAACATTTAGCAAGCCCCCGGTGTACTCTCCATGTGCCACATCTCAGTCTTCTTGGAATGCAGGAAAAGGGAGAACTCTGCACATAATGAATTGTGGGAACAGCAGGCTGACAGAGGGGCCTGCCTGATGCCCCTGGGACTTGGAATTCCTGATGCACTTTGCAGTATTGCAGCTGAAATCTCTGCGCACCAGCAGAAAGCGTAGAACTAAACTTTTCCACAGCTTTCAAAGCAAATAACTTTTGATGAGACAGCTCCAAAGCAAAGCTGATCTGTACTGTTTATTGTTTGTCAGTCTTCCCTTCCATTATTTTCTCATTGTTTTGCTGATCATCTGTTTGCTGTTTGGACTGCATCAATTCCAACAATTTATTTCACTGTGCCCTTGAGTTCTTATTTTCTGTTCTTTGAGATGATTGTCACATCAGCTGAGAACTAACAGAGTAGCTACAATGGAAGCAGGATTCTGGCATAGCTTTGATATGAATGGGCTGGCAGAAAGAGGAGCTACCTGCAAAATGAACTAATGTTCAGCTTTGTCTCTAAAGAAAGAATGTTAGGATGAAAGGCTCCACTGGAAATCTTATCTGAGGAATCTATTCTGGGAAAATGTTAAGTAACTTCTTAGGTTATTGCAGGAGATGGAGCAGTTGGAGCAAGCAGTTCTGTCTTTCTCACTATTTTTGGGTCTCCACCTTTTTTTTTTTTTTATTGAAGCCTTCATGGCAATGTTTGTCTTAATAATCTCTCTTTCAAAACTGTTAGTGTCATATGGTTGAGATGCTGAAATTTGTTGATTTAGAGTTGTTTCCTTTCCTCCTTCAAACACTAGCCCTCAGAGAGCCAGGTAAGGGTTTCCAGATTACCCCAACAAAAATAAAATAACCACATCCTGATTGAAGTCTGGCGCATCCTTCTTTTCAAAGAGTGCTGTGTGTTCTGGGATGCAGTGAAAGACAGCGTGCTCGTTCCTGGTAGTGACTTTTTTTGCAAGCTAAGATTTAATCCAAACAGTGATCATTTTTAATATATTTTTTTAAGTACTGCAGAAGGAAAGAGTACACAGAAGTAATGAGACAGACAAAAGATGATTACAGACATTAAAGCTGAAGTTTTCTCTCCTTTTTTAATGTCTTCATTTTCTATGAAGCTGGAGTTTCCTTCCTGCTCCTTTCACAGATCTGTAACGTTGACTTGGGCATGCAGTTAATCATGATGTTAACCTTGCTGGAATTAACAGTAAGCCCTCCAGGTGGGGACATGAAGATCTCTCTTCTGTGGTGCCTACTAGGCCAGGAAAGGGATGTCCTTTTAAGAAGCAGCCCATTTTGAATCAGATCATCATTTTCAACCCATTCAACAGGGTATGTGCTAGCCTCAGAGTAATTTTTGGGCAGCCATTGAACTGTGAGCTGAAAACACAGCAAACATGGAGCTCTCTGCAGAAGTTGTGTGACATTTGAGGTGAAACTAATCACCAGTGTGTTAATCTTGTTATCTGAAGTTAATTGAGAAGTTATGCCACACTTCAGTTTTCTCAGCCTCTGAGTTTTGGGTTTTTTCCTTTCTGGCTCGGAGTTGAAGCTGTTGTACTTGAATGAAATACTTTGAGATATAAAAGGAAATACAAGGATCGTCTAGATTTAACTCTGAGCATGAAATGGTAATGAAAATGAAGCAGTTTGAACTCAAACTGGTTGGATTTCCTTCTTATATTGTGCCACTGGAGAACTGAAAACAAATTATTGATTCATCTCTTTCGATGTCTTACATGGCATTTCTTCTGGAAGTTGTGCAAATGCTATAAATAATATATTCTAGTTGGTATTGGTTTTATTTAAACTTCGTAGGGGAACAGATAATCTGAGTGATCTAATTTTTTCATGCAAATAGTGAGAATTGCCCTGCATTCTTTTCCAGCATGTGAATGAAAGAGAGGAGGAGGAGCTTCGTTTCCCTAGCTCTGAAAATAATCGAGTGCATTAAGCATCATGGACATTTGTGCAGAAAATTCATAGCCTGAAAGGAAATCAACCCTGTAGCACATAAAAATTCAGCGCAGAGTTTGCCTTTAGGTAATAGACAACAGAGTAGCCTCTGTGGGCTGCCCTATGGGAAGGAGAGCAGGAAAACTGACCAATCCTTTCAAAACACCAGTGGCAAGAAGGGTTGCATCAGGCCTGTATTTATCAGCACAGCAACTCCTGTTGTAGTGACTGTCGCTCTCAGCTCTTGCTGTGGCCCTCTGGACATGTAGGTGGAGACCCACAAAGCTCTGCGATTCTCCAGAGATACATACATAAAGAGGTGCTTTCTTGTGCTGCACAACAGTGGCAGGGAATGTGGTGAGAACTGAAAAACGCTTCCAGACGCTTCAGATCTTGTAATACTTTGCTCATGAAAGCAAAAAATATTCATACATAAAGACAAAAGGAATGAGAGCCATATCTGAGATCTGCTCTTCCCTGTCCTGGAAAGCAGCAGCTATGACAAAAAGCTGGTGCAGATGTAGCAGTCATTACAAAGGGTATGATTGAAGTGACTTTTACCTCTTACAAAGCACGTACTTCTTGCAGTGGTATGGTACATGTGGGACTGCAGTTAGCACTTGTAATAGCTTAAGAAAATGAGGTGGGATTCCAAAAGCTCCCAGAACAGTTTTGAGAACTGCAGCAAATGCTTAACCTTGCTGCTGAGCTTATTACCCAGATTTGATTAGTGTGCAAAATACGTATGCAGGGAGAAAACACCAGGTTTCTAAGGAGGTCTTTAATCTAGTGGAGACAGGCATAAGAATTACTGGTTGTGAAAGACAAGGCTGGGTGATGTAGATGTGAAGTGAAACACTGAATTTTTGTTTATGGGGTAAATGACCACTGACACAAGCTGTCAAGCCTGGTCACAAGTTGTCCACCTTCATAAAGCATCCATGCTAATCTGCGTGTGCTGCTGGGCTAAACACTGAGTTATGGAACCAAGTTGTCATCTGCATTAGTAAATCAGGCCAAGTGTAGTCCCTGTTGGCTTTGCTTTTTGCAGCTCTGAAAGTGGGTTTCAGCAGTGGGGCTGACTTGAAAGGCCTGGCCTGAGGCGGGTGCAGAGTAGGCAGCTGTTCTGCTACCTTCAGTCCTCCTGCTGCACAGCCATTCTGACTTGTGTGCCACAGAATGGCTCAGTCAGGAAAACAGGCCTCACCATTTCTGTTTCTATATTGCTCATGAAAGCAAAATATTCATACATAATAGGGTTTTTGTTTGGGGGGAGGGGTTGTCTGTTTGTTTTAAAACCTCTCATGTCAACAATAATTACTGCTAATTATAACAGTTCAAAAATTTTAGAGAGTTTTAATCAGCTGGGACTTTGCAATCAGCAAAGCTGTATTTAAACGTGCGTCCTCGTTTCGGGAGCCAGGAAGCTGCCACAAGCAGTTCGTGTCTCCCTGCAGCAGCACTCATGTAACGGTTGATCCATCAGCTTGGTGCTTGAGTGCTCGTTACAGCTTGGGCAGAACTGGTTCATTCTGCTAAATTAGGAGTTCCTGGTTCTTGTGATACACTTCAGAATGGTGTCTGACCACCACCCAGCTAGTATGTTCATAACTGAGGTGCTGCATGGGCTGTTGCTGACACGGTTCCCAGCACAGAATAAGTGTTATATCTTCTGTTCATTTATGCTGCTTCCATCCTAATGGTTTATCATTTTTGTTACCCAGATGAGCACTATGCCAGGACTTCCTACAAGACCCAGCTTTTATGATATCGACTTGGACACAGTGACAGGAGAAGTGAATGGGCTCTTCTGAAAAGAATTTGTGACCAAAGCTAGGTGTCACCTTCAGGTTAGAATGCTTCCAATATTTGGGCTTGATTTCTCAATTTGAGATAATGGAACCAAGCCAATTTCGTATTATGCCATGTGTTTCCAAATAACATGATTATATATTTCAGCCTGAAAGTTGCCTTCAGTGCTGTTTAATAATAATTAAATTTATTTTTCTTTTTAGCTCCCAGAAGAACACCTGATGAGTCATGTAAATGAAACTATTCACTGATCTTTTTTGAAGTCAAAACAAGATATGACTGAGAATACAGTGCAAGAAGTGAAAAGAAGAGTGCTAAAGGATAGAAGACTTATTTTTAATCAGTAATAATTCTTAAAGTACTGTTTTCCAAGCTAGTTGAAACTAAGTATATAAAGTATATTTCCTGTACAACCTTCCTGCTTCATAACTGTAGCTCGAGCAAAATACAGAAGCTTGTGTTTAGTGATCTCTTAGAACCACAGAATCATTTCAGTTGGAAAAGACTTTCAGGATCATCAAGTCCAGCCAGCTAAAGGACAAACTTTAACTAAGACAGTGAGCACACAAAGGAGAAAAGATACCTTTATACGATCTCACCTTGATTCGGTGAGATTTTAGTAATTAAAAACCCTACAGCTGGAGCTGTTTGAAACAGTCTTGGGACCTGGCTGTCTTAACAGTAGGCATAGATTATCTTGGGAGGTCTCACACGCTATTATAATATTCCTACTTGTCATCCTGAATTCTGTATCCCATTTCTCACACTATGGGAGGATTTGCTGTGCTTTGAAATCACACCAGTTTCTTTTAAAAGCGGGAACAAGGAAGAATCCTTTTGTCATTTCTTAGCAGGAGTGCTCACCCTGGCTTCTGCTGTGAATTACCCCTGCAGACACCTGAGCCATGCCAGATTTCTCTTTTAGAAAGCCCAGCTGTGACTGCTGTAATTCTTACCACTGGAAACAGAACTTCTGAGTGTCGGGTCTGTTGAGACCTCTCTGGGCTGTAGCCATGGCTTCTGCCAAAAGTGTCCTTTGAACCATGTTTTGCTCAGCAATAAGTACAGTTAGGCCATTGAGAAGCCTTGTTTTCTATGGTACCTTTTGGGTGAACAGAAGCCACGTGAGCAGTGATTGAGTCATTTGTAGTAGGCTAGAAAAAAGGCCAGAAATCATTTTGTAACAGAAATAGAGTTTCTGCCAAATTTTTAACTAATACAAATAAAGGGTAAAAACTTCAAATGCTTTTTGGGTTTTAATGCACGTGCTGAGATTAATAAAGTAGAACTTATTTCTGTGATTAACTGAGTAATGCAGCAGTCCCAGTATTGACAACTGTAAGTGATCATTGCAGGAATAAGTTGCCTGCAATGCACCACCGTGTGTGTGTTTTGTCTTTTTTCCTTTCCTGGATGGCGTGTGTCATCTATAGGAAATAAACTGCCTGAATTATTCAGTGGATTGAGTTTACTTGCAGTTGACTGCAGAAGATCTGAATTAAGATGCTAGCTTTATTAAGTTTGACTGCCCTGCTCACAGCTGAATATTTTTGGCTTCTCCTTTCTTCATAGACTTGCAAGGCCCATCTGCTTGCATCCAAACTGAATCTGAAAGCATTCTGATTTTGGTGAGAACTGGGAGAGTTGTGGTGTAGGTGTGCACCAATGTAAGGATGCATCTGTAGTATACAGATACTAAGTATAGAGAGAGCAAGTTATTCAGTAGGGGAGAATAATTATATAAAAATTACCTAGTTGTCACAGAAGCAAAGACAGAATAATTTAAATTGTCGTAAGCACACTTGAGATATGCTCACTGCCTCCTCAGATTTTCTTCTCGATGGTATTTGGCTGAGAAGTTGCTGGAGACAGCTTTCACAGAGCACAAAAAGGCCACCTGCATGGGGTCAGGAAGAGCGTGCCCTGTTGCTGCATCACCATGAAGGCCTGGCTGGAAGTCTACCTGCAGCACCTTGGCGGAGCCTTTCCTTGCAGCAGATTGCTACAGCTGATGCTGCCAAGGCTGCTGTCAGTTCCTACAGTTAATCCTCATTCTCTCATCTTGCAGAGGCTTCCCTGTTGCGCTGCTTTCCTGCAAGCGCTCTGTGTTCCATCTTCATTTTATGCTTATGAAAGATGGGATAAGTGATAATTTATGCTAAGATTAGCCTCCTTTTAGTTAAGCATGAGATTGTAGACATGCGGTTGAGAGAAGATGGTTCAGGAGGTCACTAGTCCACAGCATTCAGTGAGGCAACACCATGGCACAGCCACAGAAACCGGATGTGAATTTGCTGAACAGTGGGGGGCTGCTGACAGCAGAGCCTAAGGGCCGGCAGCAAATAGTGAAAAAATAGCCCCAAGCATCTTCAGAGATGAGTGGCAAATGCTTTTCTACAATGTGCTTCAAGTGTTGTGGGAAGTGTATTCCCACTGTCCCTACTTGCAGCGCTGATTCATCAATAGGTTTGGTGGGTTGTTGGTTTCTTAGCTCATTTGGCAGTCCCGTACTTGACCCATCACCTAGGACACAAAGAATGCTTAATCTCTTCTAGATGACAACTGGAAGGTTGTCTTCCCTTCCTGTTGCCTGGAGCAAAAAATCAATTAAGTGAGGTACGTTCTCTGTGGGCGACATGTGAGCCCAGATCCTTGGCTGCTGTGATGGCCATTCCCTGAGTTGTGCCGTGATGAGAGCCACACATCACATTGCTAGGAAACAATACAGATTTTTTCAATCTTATCCACCTTCTGCCCCGTTATCTATCTCCTGTGTGCCATACTCCTTGCTATTACTGTCCTCCCATGGAGCAACGGAATAATTGAGTTCTGTGCAAGGTGATTTCAGAGGGACGGATTGGAGCTGACGCTGGAGGTAGCGCACGTTACTGCTGCCTGCATCCCCTCTCCACCTGAAATGAGGGGAAATGGCCTCATGCTGATGGCCTGTGCTTAGCTCTCATGGAGAACTGTACCCTAATTAGAACCCACTGCCTACCCTCCAGAGAGGAGCAGTTACCAAATGCAAGTTATTATAATGAATGAATGCCAGCAAACACGTCTCGTTAGGGAGCTTTTGAAATGACGGTTCCTTGTGGTTGCCTGATGTGTGCTTCTGTCTCTAGGCTGAGATTTCAGCCAAAAGAACACAATTTCTCCCCTTTTTAGGGAGGGAGGAGGCCGCGTGTATTCTTTTTAAGGATGGCCTCCACTGGAAGCCACTTGCAGGCTCGACGTATGCTCCATGGCCTGCATTGCAACGTGCCAACACGCTGCGAAGCAATTAATATCCTTACGACATGAGTGGGCATCGCTGAGCTCCCCGTTGGTATGAATGGGGACGTCGAGGCAGCTCCAACCATGGCTTCATGTGGTTCTTCAGCAGCACCTGTAGTCATTTCCTGGAGGCTCTCCCATCAATCATAACAGCTATGGATGCAGTTTTAAAGACAGATTTTGGCAAATGTGAAGGAAAGAAAGACCCCTATGACTGAGGCGCCTTGTCAGGTGTTTCGGCTGAGGTTATGCTTAAATCCGGGCCCCGGCTGCCCTTAACCCCGCAGTAAAGCTGCGGCTCCTGCAGTGACCTACAGTGACAGGTTTCAGGCGGCAGAAAAACCGCTGCCAGGAGCAGAACTCCCATCGCACGCTGTACCTGATCCGCGGATCCCCGCCGTCTCTTCCTCCCGGCTGCGTTTCCGCTCGCAGCCGGCATTCAAGCCGCGAACCGCGGCTCAGCCTTCGGGAGGATCCTCTTGACTTCTCCCGTTGTGCATCTGCTGCTGCTGCCGCGCGCCCTGCGCGGGGAAGGATGGTGGCGAGGGACGGTGCTCCGCGAACGGGGCAGGATGCCGAGCCGGGGTGGGGAGGGCCGCCGCTCCGCCGCGGGGAGGCTGCGTGAGCGGAGGGGCTGCGCGGCGGGGGGGCGGGAGGCGGGGGGCTGCCGGCAGCGCCCTCCCCGCCGGCCCGGGGGGCGCGGCTGCGGCGGGAGGCGGCGGCAGCGCAGCCGCGCAGGGGCCGCGCAGAGCCGCGTTCGGGCCGCGCCGCAGGTGAGGTGCCGAGGGGACCCGCGGGGATGGGGAGCGGGGACACGGAAGAGGGGAGGGTTGGAAGGGGGCGGCACCCCGAGTTCGGGAGCCCGCGCGTCTCTTCTGGGGGGCTGCGGGCGGGAGGAGCGGCGGCGCTCGGCGGCTCGCGGTCTCCTTGCCGATGCCCACGAAGCGCCCCCAGACTCGTCGGGACGCGGGCTCCAGAGCTGGGGTGCGCTCAGGGCGCCGGGCTTCGTCTTTCCCACGTGGCTGCCGAGCGCATTTTCCGCTTCGGAAGCAGCGAACGGAACGCAACGTGCGCTGCGGGCTGCAGCCCCTCCGGTAGCGCGGAGCCTCGGAGCCTCCAGCGCCCCCGGGAGCGGCAGCTGCAGCCCCGAGCCGGACGGCGCCGCCACGCGGCTCTGCTGCGCCCGGAGAGCTCCGGGAAGCGCCGGACGGCCGCGAGAAGTTGGGCTGCAGCGCGCTCCTTCCTTTCCCAAACGTTCCCTTTGTGCCTTTGATTTTTGCAAGGGTGACAGCGCTGATGGACGCGTGTGCTGTTAATTGAGGTTGCCATGGGAGGCGTGCATGTAGCGTAGATGTGCTTCTTTCTTGCCGTGTGATTTCGCTTTTGTATTCCTCCTCTTGTATTCGGCGTTTTGCATTTTGTCAGTTGGTGCATTAAAAAATAAAAATATCGGCGGTCTCGGGGTGTGATTTCCCGGGCTGCAAAGTGTGAGAAGAAAGTGGTGGGGGAAGATGGAGCCAAGTGTAGGAGCAGGAAATATATGCTTGTGTGAGTAATATAGATTTGTCATAATATGAGCAATTAGAAAAAAATACAGCCACTTCTGCCATGCAAAGTAGTGTTTTCTGTGTTGGAACAGCACTAAGTTGGCATAATAGTGGCTGTATTTTGCCTTTGGATATTGGTATCCAGAGGTAGAATTGCTTTTCTGTCCCTTGTCTGCATCCCAGGCTGAAATACTCTGCTCAGAATTACTTCTCAATCCTTTGATTTTTGCTCTGCGCTTCTTACCACTTGTTCACTGTGTTGCAGGTCAGAGCTGGGAGAATCAAGCACGATCAGAGGCAAACTTCACTCAACCCGTGTCAGGAGCTGATCAGAATCCAAGGCACAGCAGCAGCTGATTGGCACTGGGGGGCAGAACACCTCCACTCACTGCCTCCACGTTGCTTCAAGCAAGTTCCTTGCTCCCGTCGTACTGTCCATGGGCTGAATAAAAGTTGTTAACTCTTGGCTTGACTTGTCATCCTTTGGGGGAGTAAAACTGAGGTCGGACTGTCCATTCAATGGTGTACTGTTAAAGGAGCACGACCTGAAGTGGGGTATCTCAGAGGTGAGAGTGACTGGTTCTTCAAGTCTGCCTAGGACTCCTTGGAGAGGCAATAAGGAGAGTAAGAAGATGCAATGGGAATTATGAAGTGAATGCAATAGCTTCATTGGAACAGCTCTGCACATTGCCACGCCTGCTTGTTAAGAAGCAACTACTGTTGTTTTGAGGACAATTTAGGGAAAAAGCCATTTGAGCATTTCTGCAGCTTTTATGCATTAATCAAGAAAGTCAATACACAGACGAAGGAGAGGTGCAAATATGGCAAAGGCTGCTAAGGAGATACAAATGGAGAACCCGAGCGAGCTGGAGACTCCTAGCGTGGGGACACCATGTCCCCCATTGGAAGAACAGGCAGAAAAACCCTCCATGCTCTGTTTTAAGAAGCGGAAGAAGTCCTGTAAGAAGGGGCTGACAGCTAAGGATGCATGTGCGGGAGCTTCTGGAGCCTCGGAGGAGAAAAATCAATGCATCAGCACAGACCCAGGGGAGGCAAAAGCTTCTGCTCGATTGCGACCCTCCAGAGGAGCCTGGGCAGCTCTCAAAAGTCTCACAAAACCTCGGAGAGGGCAGAAATCCTCTTCACGGAAGAAGGTGTCTTCTGATTCCCAGGTGCAGCTAGAGATGGATGTGGAGGACAGCTGTGCACAAGGTCTTCCAAGGAAAAAGGCCAGCACAGGGGTGAAGATGCCCTGTGTGCGCTTCTTGAGAGGCAAGAAAAAGCCCAGCCCTTCAGAGGTGGTGGAGGAGTCAGAGGACAGCGTTCAAGCAAACGAAGTGATGGGCATTTTGAATAAAGCCATTGAAGAGCTGGAGGACATGGCCCCAGCAGAGCCCTGCAACAAGGCTGAGACTCTCAGTCTGCTCCCTGCAGAGGACATGGCCCCAGCAGAGCCCTGCAACAAGGCTGAGTCCGTCAGCCCCCTCCTTGCAGAGGACATGGCCCCAGCAGAGCCCTGTGACAAGGCCAAATCCCATAGCCTGCTCCCTGCACAAAATTCGGCCCCAGCAGAGCCCTGTGACAAGGCTGAGTCCCTCAGCCCACTCGCTGCAGAGGACATGGCCCCAGCAGAGCCCTGTGACAATGCCAAATCCCATAGCCTGCTCCCTGCACAAAACTCAGCCACAGCAGAGCCCTGTGACAAGGCTGAGTCCCTCAGCCCACTCTCTGCAGAAGATGTGGCCCCAGCAGAGCCCTGTGGCAGTGCTGTAGCCCTAAGCCTGCAGCCTGCAGAGGACATGGCCACAGCAGAGCCCTGTGACAAGGCTGAAGCCCTAAGCCCGCTGCCTGCAGAGGACCAGGGCATATCAGCAGAAGGTGCCAATGCCAATGGGAGGAGTGAGTCCTCGGGAGAGGCCAGACCAGAAGTGGATGAACATGCAGAGTGCATCGCTCAGTCAGAAATAACCAGTTTGGAGCCTGTCAATGAACCTGTGCAGGAAAAGCTGCCTGAGGGGAGTCAATCTGCAGCCCAAGTGGAAGAGAGGGAAGTCACTCCTGAAGCACCGGTTTCCACAGATCAACCCAATGGCACCCCTGAAATCACCGAGGTGCAGGAAATAGCCACAATCTGCAAGGAGCTTCCTGAAAGGGATGAGTCGGAGAGGAACACTGATCTCCCCAAGGAGTGCAAATCTGAGGAGACCACGATGGATTTCAGTCCATCGGTGTCTAAGGATGATGCAATGAGTGTGCAGAGCAGCTCCAGCCATCAGGAGAAACCTGAAGTCAACATGGGCACCAGCGTTGGTATCGTCATCACCATCACTGAAGCCGTGGACTCTGACGACACCGATTCTGACCAGGCCTATGAGCCATCCCCGGTTTTACACCACAAGAAGCAAAAAGGGAATAAAAAATCCAGTGGGAGCTTTGATTTTGGTCAAAAAGAAGGCCCTGGGGCTGGCAGTGATGCTGTGGTGGAAGAGAAAGGTCTGGGCGAGAAGGAGCACAGGACTTCAGATCAGTACGAGTTGCTCCTCATAGAAACGGCGTCTTCCCTTGTGAAGGCGGCCATCCAGTCATCCATAGAGCAGCTGGTCAACGAGATGGCTTTGGAACAGAATAAACACAACAGTTTTCTGTGAGGGTGATGATGCCCCCAGATTAGGGTGATTCCAAGCTACTTTGGCCTGAGGAGGGAAGCAAGAGGACTCTGGAGGCCACTGCTTAGTTAACTCTGCATGCCTGTGAAGTTGTGTGTGTGTTCACGTGTATGAAGCTGGTGCTGGGGCATGGGACGGGCCGTGCTGAGCACAGCGAGTGCACTCGGCCTGGCTGCAGGAAAGTGCAAGTGTTGTGGTGTTTTCATTTACTAGCATCTTTATGTTGAGGCCGTGTTTCTGCTGTCTTCCATTCCAGACTTCCCTGCTGTTAGTGGTTTAAACGTTAATGTGCTTTTAGGAGGAGGCTCCGCAGGCAGCGGGAAACCTCCTGCCACTGGGTTCGGTTCAGTGAGCGTTGAGCACAGCTGGAGGTTTGCTCAGTGGGTACAAGGGAGGGAGAAGGGGCTGAGATGTGCAGTCAGTGGCATCGATGCCAAGCAGTTAGCACTGCATTCGGAGGTATAGGAAACCGTGGTCTGAAGTCCCATTAGGTAGAACTGAGCGAATGCAGTGAGCAGCACAGTTTGGCCAGCCTAAGGCCCCAGCCTACTCCTCCGGCCTATTCCCTTGTCAGAAGCAGCCTGTGTATCATCCATCCCACTGCAGTGCAGCATCAGGTCTCCTTGCTGACTTCAGGCTGCACAAACACCAAGAGCATGCCCTCGCTTTGTCTGCTGGGGCCCATTGCACTGCTAAGTACAGGCCTCCCCATGGTGTAGTGATGAGGGCCAGGCTGGAGCATGCTGGCCACAGGGAGCCCCTGGCCTTGCCTTCTTTTGTCTGCCACAGTGAAACTTCCCTTGGATATGATGTTTTTGTTTTCTTTTGTTATTAATGTATGGCATGTCATATAAATAGCAGTGTGCTGCATGCAGTCAACTCTTGCCTCGGTGTTGAAATAGCATGGTAGCAAGGATGTGCTGCAGGCCATGGAATTGCTCCAGGCTGGGAGGGGATTTGGACGCTGGGTGTGTCTATGTGTCCATCCATCCCTTCACTTCGCAGAGACCCCCTGCAGAAATCCCAGCTGGCTCCGTGGTGGCCAGTCCAAAACGCACCCTGAACACCGGAGCCATCTCACCAAAGTCCTCAGGGAAAACCCAGACACGAGGGCTGGGGACACTGCCACAAAACACCCAGACAGGCCAACTGCTGTCAGAAAAATACAAACTGCTCTGTTAAGGAGGTGTGCATGCAGCGTGTGCACACACGTGGTGCATGCGGGTCCACATCGCCTCTCACTGCCAGCCCTCTGGAAGAAAGGGGCCTTTTGATAATTTAGGATTGCAGCTGTGCTGTTGGGATTTACACACTGCTGCGTGAAAGTCTGCCTTTTCTGCTGAGAAAGTTCTCCTGCCCCATTCTCAGCCTGTACAGAAATAGCCGCCTCCCCTGGCAACTGCTCAGTGACCACAGTGGCGACACAGAGGTTTTCTGCTCTGCGCTGTAAGAACACCAGGGCTGACAATACTCCAAGAACCCAGTGCACAACCGTGTTTTGAACTTTGAGAAAGGATCTGTGCTGCTGCGAGAGAAGCACCAGCAGTGAGTGCCATGGTGTCTTTCTGTGCACGTTAAATTTGGAAAAAATCAGACTGACATTTTTTTTTTCCTGTGAATTTATTTAACGTGATCAATAATTCAGCGTGTATATTAATGGCTCTGCACTTCCTATTGTTCCTTTCAGGCATTTTGCCATCATTTTGAAAGGGGCTTTTTCAGGACTGTGTATGGCTTTGGAGCTGCTGCAGCACCTGGAAAGAGCTGTGCTTGTGCTGGAGCTGTGCCCTGGGCTGTGTGGGCACTGGGATGGGTTGGTGCCGATGGAATGGCTGCAGCATCTCCATGCCTTGGCTGCAGGGGCACCTCTGGGTTCTCAGCAGGAGATGCCAAAACCCCCGGGCATGGCCAGGCTCTTGTCTCCATGTGCTGAGCAGTTTGGGGAGGATTTAATGCTACATCAAAACAAAACAGTACATTGCAGGAGGAGGCACTCCTTGCAATGGGGAGAGAAGAGCAGCATTGTGTGGGTCCAGCCCAGAGCCTGCAGGACTGACAGCTGCTCTGTACCCAGGGCTGTGTTTGCATCCTTTTCATAGCTGTTTTCCCTCTGTTCCACTCATACATGTAACTTGCAATTAGTTCATTAAAGTTGAGTGTACCTCTTGTTTTCTTGACTTGTAATTAACTGGGCATAGAGATTTTGTACCTGAGCTGATGTGCCATCCAGTAATGTGCAGCATTTCCAGATGGCCATCTGGTGAGTAGAAGCCTTCACGTTAATAGACCTGAAATGTTTTAAGACTCATTCTTCCTGCGTTTTTTTTTCTTAAATAAGGTTTCCTTCTGGTTGCTGCCCTGTCTTTTCCACTCACAGATTCCTGAAAGCCCCCAGACTCCAGCAGGTATTTGTGAAGGACTCCAGATCTCATCTGGCTCAGAAGAGCAGCCCAGCAATTGAATCCCCCCATTGGATGAGCTGCTTTGCCAGTGGAACAGACTGCAGAGCCCAAGCTCCCTGTGTATGAGGCTCCTAATGACTTGAGGCACTTTACAGCATATTAAAAAGTTGAAAAAAATGTACATTTTAAATAGCATTAACACTGATTATTCTTTCAGGTTTGCAGAACAAAACACAGACTTCTAATGCCTGTTAATGATTTCATTAAGTTTCTCTGCTCCCCCATTACGATGAGAGAATTGGACGTTAATGAATCACAGGACCCGTACACTTTTGGAGCAGAACCATTCTGAGAAGCACGAGGCTGCTTGGCTGCACAAGAGCACCAGAGAAGGTTCAGGACTGTTTCCTCCTCACGACTGTAAGAAATGGGCACAGTGCATAGTCTGGGCCTGCTCTGGCTGGTTGGGATTGCCTCTGGGCCATCTGCCTCCTCGTCACTCTGCTGCCCTGCTCGGATATGGAAGTGTTACTTTGTAGCTGCATCGCAATTAATTAATTTGCTCTCCTGCTCACCCCCCGGTCTGCACTGCTGCTTTCTTTCCCAGCTGTTTCCTGCACTCCTTTTGGCAGCTATTGCTCAGCTTGCTGTTCAACAAGTCCCCTGCCTCTGCTTTGCCCAGGGGGCACTGCAGTGTGCAGTGAGGCCCAATCTGCTGCTGGAGGGACTACAGCAAGTGGGAACCCAGCACTGGAATTGATGCTTTCCCTGCATAAATGATGGATGTTTTCATACGTGTGCTTACATCACAGGAAAATTCAAGAGTTTTGTCATAGGTGCCCAAAATAAACTGGGCAAGCTCGTGTAGTACATGGGAATTCTGTGCTTGGAAGTGATGGGTGGAAGTGGGACCCTGCTGGTGGACCAGCAAAGCCCTCCTATCGCTCATCCTCCACATAGAGGACTTCCACATCTGTAACTCAAAATAATGAAACGCTCCAAGGGAACAGATTGATTTAAATAATTTCTTTAATGTTCTTTTACATCTGCAGTTTTGTTTCCCAGAGAAACGGTTCTTGTTAGCTCTTGTTGGGTGGTATTACAATAATGAAGTATTTAATTTGCAGCCAGATAAAATCTTTACATTAAATGTGTTTTTGTTTAACTAATCAGAGGATGTTATTGCTTGTATGGTTATTTAAGGAACAGTATAGATCAGCATTTTTGGGAGGCACCATTGTCACATTTCTTTTTGCAGCTCGCTGTGGAAAACACAGTTCTTTGCTAACAGTGTGGCTGTTCTGCAACAAACTCAAAGTCCATTCAGCTTGGAAGTGGATGTCAGTGAAAAATACCCCCCAGCCACCATTTACAAACTGCTGTTATAACATACAAATTGACAAACACGCTGGATACAAAAGGGAGAGACACCAAGAAAAACCCTTTTGTAACTCAAATGAGTGAGATGAAGGCATCATGCCCCACTAGAGCTGGGTACAGCCCCCATCACCCCATAAGTTTGACCTCGGCAGCAGCTGCATGGCTTCACCAGGACGATTTAGCTCGGCTGGAACTGAGGCACCGAGGTGCTGTGCTGTGCTGCACCTTTGTTTTGAGGGCGGAGGTGTCTGGGTCAGAATATTTCATGCAAGAGTTTCCGCTATTAGGCTGCCTTTGAAGCTGCGTCATTACTGTTTCTTAATGAAACATGCAAATCCCACATGTGCTGTGATTGCATTTCAAGGAATTCAGTCCTGACATTGCTCCAACTGTAAATACCTAACTGGCGTGCCATTTAGGGCTTCATTCGTCTTTTCCTCCCCAGTTTTCTTTGCTCAGAATAGCTTCTCCTAGTGCTGGACCGCCAGGACGCCCACACAGAGAGCTTCTTTTTGGCAGGAGCAGAGAAGAGAAGCCTGTCAGCTCCTTACCCAGCAGCAAAGCTGGAGCTGAGCTCGGTGGTGTGTCACATCGTGCTGCTGGCTGCTGCCTGTGGGAGGGACGTGATGAGCTGAGGATGAACCTCCTCCTGGGCCACTGGGAGCCAATGGCCCGAAGCCTGTGCCTGCTTATGGAACATGGAAATGAAATGGGAAATAAGATTGAATTGCATGTGCTGATGGTTTTCACTACAGTTCTGAAAGCTTTGCCTGCACTCAATTTACGCCTTCCACCTCCATCATATTTAAGAACTATTCATTACCAGTATTAATGCTCTTTCCAGCAAGCTCATGAGAGCGGCGTTTCACGGTTTATTTCCATTCTCACGTTCAGTGCTCCGAGTTTACAATGTGCTTCCTGCTGTCAGTGCGGGGGCTGTGTCCCAGTGCCCTGTGGCCCTGCTGCAAGGCACTGTGTGGGCAGCCCACCGAGCTGAAGGCTGGAGGTTATTGTTGTTGTTCTGCTTGGAATAAAGGAGCAGAGAGAGCCTGCGTCACCTCCTGGCAGCCAGCATCCCCCCCCCGACTCTAGGTGTTCATTGAAGGGGGGTCAGACCAGATGACCTCTAAGGGTCCCTTCCAACTCAAACAATTCCATGATGTGGAAGTTGTGCAGCATGCGCTGGTCAACAGCATTCAATTACCCACGGAAATGATGTCTCACTGCACTTGATGGCATCCCCAGGGCTAATGGGCACTGGAGGAGCACTCTGCACTAATGCTTTGGGACTGGGCTGAGCACTCACCTGCAGTGCATGAGGCCATAGACAATGCCCTTTCATTGGCCATAGCCGAGGACCTCTCATGCTCCTGCTTCATCAAAGCTTTGGCGTCCACAGAGCTTTTACAAGCCTCCAAGCATCACTCCAGGTCTTTAGAGTCACAGAATGATATAACCGTTCAAGTTGGAAGGAGCTCTTAAAGGCCATCTGGTCCAACCTCCCCTGCAAAGAACAGAGCTCCACAGCTCCATTAGGTGCTCAGAGCCCTGTCCAGCCTGACCTTGGGTGTCTGCAGGGGCAGAGCACCCACCACTTCTCTGGGCAACATGTTCAGCCTTTGTTTACCTAAGCCCATGTGCACTGATTGATCAATCACAGGCAACAGAAAGGAATTACCAGGATCATTATCCTGCACACAGGGACAAAGCTTTCATTTTTCCTGGCTGTACATATCAGGCAGATTTTTCCAGCATGCCCTGCCTCAGAGTTGAGTATACAATAGCCCAAGTGTGTTCTACATACAAGGGTAAAACCTCTTCCTATGTGCCCAGGAGCAGCTACTGTTCTTGCTTAGAAGATGGAGCTGCCTTCCAAATGATTTTCTATGATTTTCTAAGGCTGAGAGCAAGCGATGCCTGCAAGGGGAGGTTGCAGCGTGCAGTTCTGTCTCTCCAGCTT